TCCAGAATCATCCCCTTAGCATCCAATGTGACTTCAGCCTCCACTGAAGACAGCACCCATGGCCCAACATGCACCCTCTGTTAACAGAGCCTTCAGATTCTAGCATATCTCCCAGAGTCTAAGGGCCCTGTGCACACTCCCAGGCCTGCAAGAGACATCCTGGCCCTCCTCCTCCCCTGACTGCTTCTACTCTGTTTCCATGGACACCCTTCCCCATCATGATCTTCCTTTACACAAGGAGCCACCAGAACCAAGTCCTTCCCCTTATCTCCTCCCAGTTCACATGCCCTCCCTAGAAACCTTCCCTCCTCCCCAGGACCCATCTGACCTGCAACTCTTTCATCCAGGTGTCCAGCCCAGCTCTCTCCCTGAGCTCTCTCCTTGCCTTGTTGAATCTGCAGGTGAGGACCACAATCCCATTCCCTCAAGATGGACTCTTCCTCCATCCACGTTCAACTCCTTCTGAGCATCCTCCCTGCCTATAAAGGAATCAGCTTTCTTCTGGTCACCAAATCTGGTGTTCTTTATCACCTTCAACCTCTCTTCTCTGTCTAGGCTGTGTTTATGTGGCTCACATCCATGTCTAATTCTACCAAAATGGTGGCAAATATTTATTTGCATGTATAGAATATGCCATATTGGGATAAGCACTTTATATACACTGTCTCACTGGACACTCATAAAAGGTTTTGTCCTCATTTTATAAATATGAAAATGAAACACTGGCAGGCCCCATGACTTGCCCAAGGACAGTAGTGGCTATACTTGTGTCCTCAGGAGCTTCCTAATGCTTGAATAGAGATTTCACCTCTCTGCTTTTTGTGACATGCTGTTCAGAATCTTAAATAGCTCCAAGGCAAGAGAAGGTTTTCATGCCACCAGCCTTCTCTGGACCTAGCACTGAGCCTTGCCTTAAGCAGAAGGCAGCAATTATTTATTGGTATGGCTTTATCTGAACAACACCTGCACTGAGTGGTTTCATTAGACTTCACAATACAGTTAGCATCTTAGCAATCAATGTGGTTTTGGGAGGTCATAATTTGAAACTTGGTGTTCTTGGACCTATATAACAATGCACCCTTAGAAATAGATCATGTTTTAATGATAACTTCTTGGAGGAGGCTGCTTCTCTAAGCTCAGGATTGATGGTGACAAGGGGCAACACCACAAAGCAACTAGAGGACACACCAGCAGATGGTTGGCCAGATCAGGTATGACAGATGCTGAAAGCCACTGATGACTACCATCCTCTTTTAGTGCTACCACCATGGGGTACATTGACCTACGCTGAGCTACTGACCCTGGTCATAGAAGCCAAATTTCTTTTCTTTAATCCATCTGGGTTCCTCTCAGATTTGTGGTCAGACTTTCTGACACTGTTAGAAACTAGCAAATTCCCATGTGCTGAAAAATACTGATTATCACCAAATTGGCAACCTTCAGCCTGACATCTCCAAGAGGAGCCAGGTAGAACCAAGTGGTGTCAGTCCCAGGCCCAGGCAGTAGTTAAGACACCTTGGCAGGCGCCTCTATCTAACTGCCCAAGGACAGTGACAATTCTACTCAGCTTGTCTTGAACTTGCTGAATCCTGTATTGGGATTTAATTTTCCTGACTTTTCTTTTTTGCTTCCCAGATTTTAAACAACTTCAGGAGTCCTAGATCCAGATGGCAAACAGCAAATCTGGAAGAAAATTACTTTCCTTCTGCATTTGGTCTGTGTGTTATCACTGTGTGCCTATAGCATGTGTGAGGCCCTGGGTTCAATCCCTGATGCCAAAAAAAAAAAAAAAAATGTTTAAAGACCAAGTCAAGTGGAAAGCAGGGATCTGTGAGTTAGCATCCTCCAAAAGTAGATGGAGCTGGCCATCTGAGCTGGAGGGGATCAGGCACCTGCTCAGTACTGAAGACAGGAGCATTATAGAGCTGAGTCCCAGTGCAGGGACCAGAAATGAGAGGTAGAGGGCAGCTGGAGGGTCGGGGAATGGACTGAGATTGAAGAAGCCCAGCTGTGTAGGATGCCAGCTATATAAACTTGGGGTGAACCTGGCTGGTAGCCCCACTTCTGGGGCTACTTCTTCATACAAAAATGGGCAGAAGTAGCTGCCCTGCCTGGTTTGTGGGGATTTCTGGGGTTTAATAAGGATACTGAGTTTGAATGGGCTCTGGGAGCTAGTAGAGCACAAGGCAGGCAGGAGAGGTTATTGTTCTCAGAACTACATCTGCCGACTGCTGAGCTATATCCGGCCATTAGCTTGAGGTTGTGACTAATTGTTTTTAAATGAAAAAAAAAAACAAGATTTGTTTAATGTTTCATGAGTCAGGCAAGCAAGCATCTCTATAATGAGAATATCTCACCATCAAAGATGGTCTGGCCATCTACCCATGACTGAGACAAGAGGTCAGATGGGGCTCTCTTTCCTGAGGGCCCTCCATGTGCTTTGGAATCCCACAGCAGTACAATAGGGTGAATAAGATGGTCTCTTCTCTCAAGGAGCCCACAATGGGTGAGCAGAGAAGACCTGCACAGACTGGCTGACACCAGGCAAGGCAGGGCACTCAGTAGTTGGCACAAGCCAGGGGCCTGGTGCCAACAGTGAGCATTGACCAAGGTTCTGGATTCCAGTTGTAATCCAATGACAGATGTACCACCAGGAAGACAGTGTGCAGTAGGCAGATGACATTTGGGCATGGCTGTGGACAAGGTATAGAATTTTGCCTTGCAAGGAGGACATTCTAAACATCAACTTAAGTTAAGGTACAGGAGGACAGGGTAGAGAACACCCAATAGGGACTCTGCCCTAAAGGAGCTTTCAGTCCACTTAAAAAAAAAAAAAAAAACATGAAAGCCACATAAACATGAAGTGGATACATTCAAAAGGGTATGTGTCATTCAAAGGGTGTGTGTCAGGGGAAAGGGGAACAAGCTAAATGGGCTGGAGTTCCACACCTCTGCTCTGTACTGGGCCAGGCTGCCCTTCTCTCTCCAGGCCATTTTATAGCCTCCTCTACTCGGCTTCTGCCTCCTCTAACACCTACCCTCCAATCCAGCACCCACACGATCAGTTACATTCCTAAAGACCTCCAAAGTCTGTTGATTTCAGGACAGTTTCAAAGCCCTCAACCTGACATCCAAGACCTCCTCAAAGTCTGGTCCACACTTCTAACCACAACTCCAATGACATTCTTTCATTTGCCCTATGAAAAATTTACTCCAGATGATATCACACCCTGGTCACGTAAACCCTTTAGTATAAACACATTCAACTAGCCTGACCCTTCTGTCTAAAATGCCAAAGACAGTGGGCTCTAGGGTTTGACTCCTGGGGTCTCAGATAAGTTACTTTTAACTCTGTGTGTCAGTCTCTCCCTTTGAGAAATGGGGATGATAGTACCCACCCTCAGGGATTCTTATAAAGATTAAATTAATTCAAATAAGTGGAGTTTAGATCAGTTCCAAGTACACAATAGCTACTAAAAAAAAAAAGGTTAACTGCTATTGGTGTCAATAAATTGAAACTTTTCAAGTTCTAGTTGTGTATCACCTGCATGGAGGATGAATTGCTCCTCCTTCTGGGCATTTGGGTCATTGACACAATGTTTCATCCCCTTGTAATAGAAATTCAACATACCTGCTTACTGGACAGAACACACAGCCCCCACTGGGTGCTCCATAAATGAGAGCACCTCAGAGCCCACTAGACTAGTCTGGTCTGTGTTAGGAGTAGTAGAGACTTCTTGGTCTTACTGTGGCTGTAGCAGTCAGGATGAACTAAGGTGCACTATTGTAACAAACATCTCCCAAAGTTCAGTGATTATTTAAAAGGATTATTTCTCACTCATACTATGTTCCCCTCATTGGTTGGTAAGGACCTGACACCACGTTGTCCTCATTCAGGGACCCAGCATGACAAAGCCTGCAGTCTCTGGAACACTGCCAGTCATTTGTGACAAAGAGAAGAGAGTGTGACAAGTAACACATTGGCTCCTAAAGACTTCTGCCCAGAAGTAACACCCCTCTGTTCCCATTTCACCACCCAAGCAAATAGGAAAGTACAACTCTACCAAGAGCCCTTAATACCAGGATAGTGAGGAGGGCACAGTGATGCACACCTGTAATCCCAGTGACTCGGGAGGCTGAGGCAAAATGATTGCAAATTTGAGGCCAGGCTGGGTAACATAGTGAGACCCTGTCTCAAAATTTAAAAAATAAAAATAAAAAGGGCTAGGAATGTAGCTCAGTGGTAGAGCACCCTTGAGTTCAATCCCCAGTATAGGGGAAAAAAAACACAAGGATATTGGCATGCAGCCCTAATCCTGAACAGTAGCCTCATTCATTACTTGAGGAGCAATGAAGAACAAGCTGGTTTCAAAAGCCTACTGCCACCTTCTGGGAATAGGGCAAAATCAGTAAGTGACTTTGGCTGGAGAAACAAAGCCCTGGCTTCTGTGCTCTATCCCTCTCCCCCACAGAGGACCCAGGCCACATGCAGTTGAAGGAGCAATAGGACTTTTGGTTGACAAGCCTCAGCCTTCAGGGGTAGACTGGACATGTGGTCTGGAAAAGGGAAAGAGAGTTCTATTGCCCCACTGGTCACAGAGTGGGCTGTCTGGGCTTACAAAGCACCCATCTAGTGCCTAATCTTATATGCTCCATCCATAGTAGCCTGAGCATACAAGACAGGCTGCCTCCCTGAGGTATGAGGACCTGATTCCTTGGACAAACGTCCCTCAGCTTCACCTTCTCTCTCATAAGGCCCTCGATGGGAGACCGGGTCTCACTCATCTGACCGAGAAACATGATCCAACTTGTGTAAGAGATCTGCACCCACCTGTCCTGGTAGAAGCCTGGGAGGCAAGGCTGGGGCAAGGCTGTCTAGAGGACAACCTAGAGAGGATACCCAGAGCTTTGTCATCCTCCTGAACCAATCTTTGTGGACATGCTGTAACATACACTCTTTCCAAAGCAGACAGATGTGTGCTTTATTAACAGGAAAAGGCTCTGAAAGAACAAGCTTTATTTAGTATCTGAAATGCAACAGTATCACCTGGCAAATTTACCTAAGGGCTTCTGGCAAGCATATGACTTGTAAAATGACATTTACAAAGAGACAACATGACTGCTTCCCAAAATCATGGTTGTCTGGTGCCTCAGAGACAGGCTTGCCTAAGACTGGGATCCTTTGGGAGTCTGGGAGTCGATGCAATGGCCCACTCCTGGAAGCCATTCCAAGGCCATCCCTTCCAATAATGGGAGGACTTAAGATGTTCTGTAGGGAGGCCAACTTGATCCTGAGAAAAGGCCAACTTTTCTGCTGAGTCAGGAATACAATGGGTCAGCAGGGTCCAAACCGAGGGAAAGAAGGATTGGGGCAAGCAGGATAAGAGTGTCCTCTCTAATAAAATTGCCACTCCCCTTGGACAAAAGCAAAAACATGTGGCTATACAGACACAATCCTGAGAAAGGGTCCTGCTGGAGCCTTGTCAGCTTCTTGGGGACAATGTGCCAGAACAGTGCTAGCCACAAAGCTTCCATCCCCCTTGCTGGTCATGCCATCTGTTTCTTCTTTCCTGTGATATACCTTCAAGCCAGTTCTGTTGTGAGGATTCGGGGCAATTCCAGGGTAGTAGGCTTTCCTGGGAGTGCGTGTGCATGGCAAGAAAACAAGCTCAAGCCTCTGCATCTTCATCCCAGCCAACCTGCTTCATAGTGGGTCTGATCCAGACAGTGAGACTGGGGGTGGGGCTTACAGTCACATCATACAACCCAGGAGGAAAGGACTTTTCCAACAGTGCAAATCTGACTCAAATCTGGACTTCATGTCTCTAAAATCAATCCAAAAACTGGACATGAGAACAGTCTCCTTTGTTTAGTTGGAGCCATGACCACTAGACATTTTGGTGTCTGAAGGCACATGTGTTTTCTCTCTTTCTACAGATGATCACAGATGAGCCCCGCCCCTTACACATACACATTTACATTTTCAACCAACTCTCAGGTAGGTCTCTTTCAGAAGGTGCTAGTTTGGGATCTTGCTGGTGACTCCTGGCCACATTACTAGAATATGCCCTTGAAGGTAAATTCTTGGTCAAGATGATGCCCTGAGATGAAACAGTTTAAAATCTGCCCACATAATTGTCCAGGAAAAGGATGAGCCAGAGATCACATAGTAATGTTGATTAGGTAAAATTCACAATGGTCCTTTAGCCAAAGGGTCTGCTGATTAAGACTCTTTCTGGTGGAGGCTCCTCTGTAGCATGACCAGAGCTGCCCCAACAGCTGCATCCACGTCCTGCCCAAAGGACATTGGCAAAGGGAAGGCCCTCTGCACCTCCTGCTTCAGCACCTCGTTCCTGGACAGCGCACTCCCACTCCCCATCACCCGCTCCACGCCCCACTCTTTGAGCTGCTGCACTGGAAGCATGGAGTGCAGGTTCTGAACAATGCCTCTGCACAGGGCCCGGGTCACATGCCCCAGGGAGAGGTCAGAGGAGGAGATTCTGGTCACTGAAGCCAGCTGGTCTGGCAGGTGCCTCTCCCCCAACACTGTTGGGGTGATGTTTAGGCAGGTGTCTCTCTGCTGTGCAGCTGCCTGGATCATGCGTGAATACACAGTGGATTCTTCAACCTCCAGACCTGCCAGAAACAGGAAAGATCTGTGTGAGCTTATGCAGCCCCTGGATGAAATATAAAAGTTCCCAGGGGATAGGACAGGTCTACTTGCAGGTGTTCTTCTCACTGCAGCTGGAAGTTTTGGGGTTCAGGGACTCACACAGTTTGGCTAGCTAGACTCTGCCCTGGATTACAGCCAGCTGTCTCCCTGCAGCCGAAGTCAGACTTCAGGGAAATATCTTTTCAGTGTTGCTGTGAGACCTATCCCTAACCTGAGCATCATAGCCATCACAGAATTATGGAATCTTTGATCCCAAGAGGGCCAAATGCATACACTAATTAATAAGTACCATCAAAGCCATTGATGGCTTTGGAGCCATTAGCAACACCATAGCAATCCCAAGATCCCAGGCTGATCACAATCTAGGCCACCTTCAGTATATGTACAGGGTGCCTGAGGCCCAGGGCACCCTGGGCTTTGATCTTAGGATCACTTTGGGGGCTGCATTATAACTCAGCAGTACAGAGGTTACCTAACAAGCACAAGGTCCCAGTACCACAAAGAAAAAGAATCACTTTGCAAAATCTCTAAGTTGCCATTAAACCAGAGAATGCAAACCAGCTTTGTTTTTGTTGTTATTGTTACTATTGGGGTTTTTGTTTGTTTATTTTTTAGGGGTTTTTTAACTTGTTCTAATTAGTTATACATGAGAGTATGATTCATTTTGACACATTATACATAAATGGAGTATAACTTCTTATTCTTCTGGTTGTACATGATGTAGAATCACACTGATCATGTAATCATATATGCACATAGGGTAATAATGTCTGATTCATTCTACTATCATTCCTACCCTCTTACCCCCTCCCCTCCCTTCACTCCCCTCTGTCTAATCAAAGTACCTCTATTCTTCCCTAGCCCCACCTTATTGTGAATTAGCATCTGCATATCAGAGAAAACATTTGGTTCTTTGGGATTGGTTTATTTCACTTGTATGATATTCTCCAGTTCCATCCATTTACCAGCAAATACCATAATTTCTATCTTCTCTAAAGATGAGTAATATTCCATTGTGTATCACAATTTCTTCATCCATTCATCTGTTGAAGGACACCTAGGTTGGTTCCATAGTTTAGCTATTATGAACAAACCTGGCTTTGACAAGAAGAAAGTTGTGCAGACTGGGGCTCTCTTCTAGTTTGGTCCATTGCAATCCCCTGAGAAGCTTTGAAAGCACTGTGGGCCTCATCTCCAGATATTCTGATGTAACTGCTCTGGGATACAACCTGAGCACTGGAATTTTTAAACACCTCCCAAGTAATTCTAAAAGGCAGCCAGGGTGGAGAGCCACCAGTCTAGACTTATAGGTCCTTTCTCCAAACACTTAGGGATCTTATTAGAATAGAATGCAGCTCTGACTTAGCACACCCTGGGTAGACCTGAGATTGAGCATTTGTTAAAAGCTTCCAGAGAAAGCAGGTGTTGCTAGATCTACTCGAGTGGTGCTTATCAGCAGACATAGGTATCAGAATCATGGAAAATGCCCCCACCCCTCACCCCTACCTCAAGCTAAAAAAGTCAGCATTTCTAGGCATAAGATAAGAATGTCAGTATTCTTTTAAAATTCCACAATTATTTTCAGTGTGAGGCTAATGCTGAGAACCACTAATCTAGAGAGTCACAATGTACTCACATCACCAGAACATTTAACATATACAAAATCAACTGCACACACTCAGGAGTTAGAAATGATTTCAATATCATAGGCAACTATTAAAATTGATCACCAAGAATCCTAGTTAAAGATGCAGAATGAATATAAGTATCTTTCCTCCTCCTTTAAGAATTCCACTAAAATATCAGCAATTTTTTTTTCAGTGCTAAGGATTGAATCCAGGCCTTGGTGCAAGATAAGCACCCATTCAACCACTGAGCTACATCCCCAGCCCCAGATTTTTTTTTTCTTAATGAGAAAACAGAGGAGAAAAAAAGATGAGGAATGAGAGATGAAGACCCTTATTTGAGACAAGCAGATAACAGAATGAAAACTGACTGTAGAGCAGAGGGAGCTCTGGCCTGGGAATCTGCAAAAGGAGGTGCTAATAAGAACTAGTTCCTCTTCCATAGGAACTGGAGCCTGGGAGGCTCAAGATACTTCAGAAGGCAGAGGCACATCAGGGCCAGAACAAAAAACCCTTGAACCTTTCTGCACCCCAATGGTGACTGCAGCTCAATTATCCCCCTTGGGAGAACTTCATGCCCAAAAAGCCTTATCAGCCCACAGTTGAGAAGTACACAAAATTCAGGCCCTGGCATGGCCTCCAGGTGCTTTGCATACTCTGCTGGCCTCATCCTGTCCCACTCTTCCCAAGAGGTTATAGGCCCATGTATATGGCTCCAGAGACACCTAGCCAAGTGCTTCACAGTCCTGTTTGCTTCCTGTGGGCTGCACCAGGAAACTCCCCCAAAACTTACCAGGCCACACACAGTTCCAGTGAAAAAAATCTGGTCCCCAAACCAAAACAAAGACTGGAATTTCTCAAATGCACATAGAGGTCATGTTTTGTGGTACACACCTATAAAACCATCATTATGGGAGGCAGAAGTAGGAGGATCACAAGTTCAAGGTCAGCCTCAGAAAGTTGGTGAGGCCCTCAACAACTTAGCAAGACCCTATCTCAAAATAAAAAGTAAGAGAAAAGGGCGGTGGATGTATCCCATTACAAAAAAAAAAAAAAAAATAGAGTATCTGTAAGAGTTTAAGGTGACTACTTGTGAGGTCCAGGGCTGCAGTGGAAATAGTGGGACAATTTTTCCTCTATAAGTCTTTTTATATTATTCGGTTTTTAAAACTCATATTCATGGGGTCAGTGATAGAGTTCTTGCCTTATATACCCAAAGCCCTGGGTTCAATCTTCAATACTGAGTAAACAAAAAAAATTTTTAAATCATGTTTTTGGTGAATAACCTGGTAGGTATGTGCAAGTACATAAACTGTAGGCATGAGAACTTTGGAGGGGAACTGCTGGATCAAAAGAAATGAACATAATAGTAGAAATTTCATAATATTAACCTTCAAAGTGCTGCCTGTTTCATCAAAGTAACAGTAATATGCAAAAGAATCTCACTGAAAAATACATAAACATTACCACCTCTTTCAGAGGTAACCCTCAGGCATTGTACCAATTTATATGACCACATATAAATTGTAATCCCAGCAGCTGAAGAAGCTGAGGCAGGAGGATCGTGAGTTCAAAGCCAGCCTCAGCAATGGTGAGGTGCTAAGCAACTCAGTGAGATCCTGTCTCTAAATAAAATACAAAATAGGGCTGGGGGTGTGACTCAGTGGTCGAGTGTCCCTAAGTTCCATCCTCAGTACCCACCTACCCCCCCAAAAAAACACCATAAGAGTAACAATCTCTCCACACCCTATAAACCATTGTGTGCTATAGCTTCTTTAAAAAAACAGATATAGAATGAAAAAAGAGCAGAAGGAAGAAAAAAACAAACCAATCCAATAGAAGGCAGGGAGGCTAAGGAGATGATTAAATGCAATATAGACTGGATCATGGAACAAGAAAAGGACATTAGTGGAAAAAACTGGTGAAATTCAAATAAAAAGCCTCAAGTTTAGTTTTATGGGATTTTTTAAGTCATGTGATTGTATTTCTTTAACAAAAATTTGAAAAAAAATTAAGGGAAGGTTAGACTATACACAGAGTTGTCTTTTTCCCTGGGAAAGAGGCCATGATCCAGGCCTTTGATCAAGGTTTGGCTACATAATTATAGAAACTTCATAAAAGGCTACATTACATAAAAATACTAACATTGAAAGCACTCCTGTTTCATCAAAAATGAGAGACATGAATATATAAAAGGATCTTACAGAGAAATAAATGAAAAAAATCAGCGTACTTTTCAGGGCTAAGAAAAATAGTCCCCTGCTCACAACTCAGTGAACAATTAACAGACCCAATCCAATTACACCAGTATCTAGATGCTGGCTCGCATGACTACATGACTGATTCTGCAACTTGAAAAACCTTTCCTGAGTTCTTTCCATGAAGCATAACTCAAGAGGGCCCAAGCAGGGAGAATTTCCCCTGTGATCCTAATGTCCCTGGCCATCCTGAAAGTGTAACCAGGGCTTAGAAAGGCTGTCTTTGCTAAAAGCTCTCTTTACTTGGGCCTGCAGAGCCCCAAAAGGTAACTGAAAACAGGATAAAGCTTGGCATCTCTGCCTTCATTTTGTATTCATCTTAGGTCCCTGCTCAGCTCTGCATCTAGGAATATTAATCATTGAAGGAGTGTTCATCTAAAAACTAGTAATATAAGGTTTATTGGCCCTAAATTTACCTAACCTACCTCGTCCCCCTTCAAGACTGAGACAAGATTGGTAGCTACCTGTTGCAGCCCAGGAGTGGCACCTAGAAGTCTTCATTCCTTATCCTACACTGTCCAAGAACAGCAGGGGCAATAATCTAATGTAACTAAATTGTCTCCTTCCAGGATCACAGATCCTACAGATAAATATCCTACACCCTGCAAAGTGTCCTCCCTCCGATGATAAGGACTTCTCCAGAGCCACCTGGCATAAGCAGAACTGAGAGAATAATTGACCAAACCACAGTTTGACCAAGACTGCTTAATTGTGCATATCTCTCACTCCTGCCCCAATTCTTCCTCTGTAGCTCCTGTTGACACTCCACAGACAGGGCTAGGATGCTGGATCCCATCTTTGCCTTCCCAATATGTGGCCATATTGAGTAAGTTCTTTTCCTGCATTTCACCATAACCTTTTGTTTTTGGTATTTGGGGGCAAGTGGCTGGACCCAGTTTGTTGGGACCTCAAAGTCAGGCCTTTGGCCAAGAATTCCAATAACAAAGGCACAAATGTTAGTCAGTAGCATGTTGTACAACCAGGAGGAGCTTCCCATACACTCTCTGCTGCCTGGACCTTGCTTTGTTACTATGTTGGATGTTTCCTACTAATTTTGAACTCCTCCAGGTGACCATTACATCTGATGGCCATTATTTCCCTAGATCTTGATGGCTTATCAGATATGTTATATCTACCTTAAGTGTTTGCAAAGCAGACCTCTTGTGGAAGAATGAAGTTGCACGTGTCATTGTCCATTAAGAGCAGAGAAAGACATGTTGAATTCTCCTCAGGAGTAAGAGAAGGGAGTAAGAGGGCTTCAGAGTCCCGAGGAAGCCTTCCAGAGAGACAGGAACTACTCACTAGTACTATGAAGATTTATTTTATTTTATTTCTGGTGCTGGGAATTGAACACAGGAGAACTTTACCACTGAGTTACATCCCTAGCCCTTTTATTTTATTTATTTATTTATTTATTTTATTTTTTTTTTTTTTAGATAGGGCCTTGTTAATTGGCTGAGGCTAGCCTTGAACTTGCAATCCTCCTGCCTCAGCAGCACTGAGGTATGTACCACTGGGCCCAGAATAGGATTTTATTACATTGTCAAATACCAGGAGTCTTTTTGCTCGTGTGTCTGATCACTCCAGTTCAACTATCTGAAGTCATTATAAGGAAAACCTTAAATGCAACATATTCAGAGATTTGGGGGCAGAAAAATGAAGAAAGCAGAGCCAGGAGAAGCTAGGAAAGCTGTTATAATACTCCACAGTCAAGGCAAGAGGAAAGGTGCCTCCCACCTGCTGCAAAGAAGAGAGTAGGCAACAGCTGTTCAGAGAAGAGAGGGAAAGAGGCTGCAAGTTCAGACACCCTAAGGCAGAAAGGAATATGCAGGAACCTAGATAGGTCTGAAACCTGAAGCCAGACGCTGAAATAGCACATTAAGCTCCAAGACACAGCCATACAAAAAAATGAGCAGAGAACACACCACTGTGTGGGGCACGCCTTACCTAGATCTGCCATCCACTGAACCAGCATGTGGACAAATGTGGCCAGCACATTGCCCCCATTGAGCGATGCTGCTACCCCCAGGTAAGTTCTGTCGAAGTATGGGAAGTAGGCGACTGGGGCCGCAGGGTCTGGGATCTGCACCGGCTGGAATCCTGAAGGCATGGAGGCCGCCAGTTGCACGGAAGTGCTGATATTGAGAACTGGGATCCAAAGAGAGCAAAGCTGAGGTCTGTTGTGTTAACTCAGGGGTCACAAATCATAAGAGGACAAAGGGAGACTGTGGCGGTTTTAAAAATACATCCACAAATTCTTAGATACTCTTCAAGAGGTAGAGGCTGACTCCCCTCTCCCTAAGTGTGGACCTGGCATAGTGACTCGCTTCTGACAGGTAAAATAAAGCCAAAGTGACAGTGTGTGACTTTTGAGAACTAGTATGCTTAGGGGCCAAACTAACTGAGGTCAGCACTACCAGGGAGTCAAAAGCGATAATGGTATACTGGTTTTTAAAAGGAGTCACAGGAAGCTAATAAGCTTCACTTTTCGCTACAGTGAGCCTCCTACCATGACTCTAAACCAGAAGCAACATGCCCTCTACCCATGGAAGGGGATAGTGAAAGGATCCAAGCAACACTGCCCACAGACAGGTCACAGCTGAGCACAGGCCAGCAGCCGCAAGCTGGAACCAGAGGCTCCAACCACCTCAGGGAAGAGGAGGCCTTGCTAGGGCTTGAATGTCCCCACAATAACATAGGCTAGAATTTAATCCCCATAGTGAGATATTAAGAGAAGAGACCAGGGAGGGGCTTTACCATGTGATTGGATAATGAGGGCTCCATTCTCATAAATGGACTGATCCATTCATGGGTTATGGAAGAAATGACTTTGTTATAAAAAAGAAGATCTCACTATGGCTAATTTGTTCTATCTCTCCATGTGATACCTCCACCATGCCATGACCCAGGAAGAAGGACCCCTCCAAATGCAGCTCCTCAATTTGGACCTCCCAGCCTCCAGAACCATGAATTGAAGAAACCTTTTCTTTTCTTTTTTTTTTTTTTTTTTTTTGGTACTAGGAATTGAACCACCCAGGAATGTTCTATCACTGAGCTACATTTTGAGACAGGATCTTGCTACACTGATCAGGTTGGCCTTGAGCTTCAGAATCTCCTGCTTCAGCCTCTGGAATAGCTGGGATTACATGCATTCGCCATGTCCAGCTAAACCTTTATTCTTTCTAAATTTCCCAATCTGAGAGTCAATTGTAGCAACAGAAAACAGACTAATATGGGTCTAATCCTAACCTTCTTCCCATTGGACTAGCCTCCCACCACTTAGAAAGCACATGGGCATAGGGGACTGCCCTGTGAAGAGAGTACCGCCTAACATAAAAAAAATTTAAAAAATTAAAAAAAAAAAGAGCCAGGCTCTTTACAGGCACCATCCCAAGGCCACAATTGCCCTATGAGAAAGGTAATGACTGTCATCCTCATTTTGGATAATAACAAATGCTCAGGGAAGAAACTCACTGTCCAAATTCACACAAGAGGAAGTAGAAGATCTGAACTCCAGAGCCTGTATGAGCTCACTGGGATTCTTGTTTTGAGAGGAAGGAATATAAGGCAAAGATGGTATATACTGGTTTAAAAAAAAAGTCACAAGATAAACTTAGCATGTTTTCCTGGGGCTTTGATGTTGCTGAAAATTTGGAAGTAAAAAGGTGGTTTTGAACTTTTTTATCTGAAAAGAGTTTATCACATGTACGTACAAACAAAAGGGACAGTCTCCCCGTCAGCTAATCTTGTCCTTTTTCCATGTGCTGGCTATATTGGTAATAAGTACATCAGAATACCTTGCCTCAAAATGTCTGCATCTAGCCGGGTGCAGTGGTGCACACCTGTAATCTCAGCTACCACCCCATTCGGGCAGGCCCAGGTGATACCCTAAACCAGGGGATAGGCAAATTATAGCCCACAGGCCATGACCAGACAACCACCTGTTTTTGTATGGCCCAGCAACTAAAAATGGCTTTTCCATTTTTTAAATAATAGCTTTGTAGATATGTAAATCACACAGATTTACTGTAAAACCCACACTGTTTAATTTTTTTTTTTATTTTGGGGGGTTTTTTGGGGGGAATCAGTGCTGGGGACTACATGTAGAAGCTAATCATGTGTTCCACCACTGAAATATATATCCAAAGTGAAGTGAAGTGGCACAAGCCTAAAATCCCCACAACTCAGGAAGACACAAGTTCCAGACCAACCTGGGCAACTTAGCAAGACCCTCAAGCAACTATCTCAGAGTCGAAATTAAAAAAAAAAAAAAAATGAGGGCTAGGGATGTGGCTCAAGCGGTAGCACGCTCGCCTGGCATGCGTGCGGCCAGGGTTCGATCCTCAGCACCACATACAAACAAAGATGTTGTTTCCGCCGAGAACTAAAAAATAAATATTAAAAAATTCTCTCTCTCTCTCTCTCACTCTCTCACTCTCTCTTAAAAAAAAATTGAAAGGCCTAGGGATGTAGGTCAGTGATAAGGCACTCCTGGGTTCAAACTCCAATACCAAAATAAAAAAATATTTTTAAATCCCCAACCTCAACCAAACATGTTAGTGCATGCCTATAATCCCAGCAACTCAGGAGGCTGAGGCAGGAGGATCACAGTTAGAGGCTAATCTCAGAAACTTAGTGAAGCCCTAAGTAACTTAGTGAGACCCTATCCCAAAACAAAAAAAAAATCAAAAGGGCTGGGAATGTGGCTCAGTGGTAAAGTGTTTCTGGGTTCAATTCCCAGTACCAAAAAAAAAAAAAAAAATCCATCCTTTCAAAAGGTATAAAATTCAGTGGGTTTATTCACAATTGTACAATTGTGATGTTATGATATACATTTGGGGGTTTTCATCCACAGCTCTTGGCTCATAACTCCCTTCAGTAATAGGCCATAGAAACTAGAATTAAAGAGTTTTTCATCCCCAGGGTGAGTGATAAAAACTCTGTATTTTCCACATTTCCCTGACCTACTACTGTGTCTGACAATAGATCATAAGACTTTCATTTCAGAAACAGTCCTGCCCAAACCTGGGAGCAAGGAATGATGCACAGAGAGACAAAGAAGAATCTGAAAAGATGGATCTTGCTGGGTTTCCCCACCTAGTCTCTAGCATTAGATACACATTTATTCTCTAGGGAGGGGGAAAAAAGGTCAGGTTCAAAGAGCTTCCAGGACTGAACACTTGGAGGTTCCTAGAGGGTGGCACACCAAAAAAGGGCATGGAACCTGCATGTCCCTTCCTCCGTGCCTCACCCTATACATCTCTCCATCTGTGATATCTTTTGTGTTATCTTTTATAATAAATCAGCAAATATAAGTTTGCTGTCAGCATTTCAAGGAAATTAATTGAACACAAAGAGGGGACTGTGGGAACCCCAGCCAGCTTTGCTGGGTCATATGGTGGCTCCATGTTTCACATGAGAAACTACCAGACTGCTCTCCAAAAGGGCCACACTATTTTACCATCCTGCTAGCATGTTCTCATATTTTTAAAATGCTTGAAAATAAATCAAATGCAGAATATCTCATGATACATAAAAATTCTATGAAAGTCACATCTCAGTGTTTGTATGTTCCAATATGTTACTTGGAACACAACTGTGCCCATTCATGCTGTGTGGCTTCTCTGAACCCCAATGGCAAGGTTAAGAGATTATGTTGTCCACACAGAGGAAACATTTACTCTCTGACCCTTTTCAGCTTGCTAACCCCTGTCCTGACTACTACCTCTACCTCACTGTGTTTCTCTTAACCCAAATTCAGAAAAGATTGTGCACTTCTAATCAGATCTGACACAACTTTCACTGACAAACTCATAATAACAACAATCCTATTCTACTTATCTATTCTCTCTCTCTCTCTCTCTCTCTCTCTCTCTCTCTCTCTCTCTCTCTCTGTGTGTGTGTGTGTGTGTGTGTGTGTGTTTTACTAGAGATCAAACCCAAGGCCTTTCTCATGCTAAGCACATGCTCTACCATTGAGCCACAGCCCCAAACTTATCATCTATTTCTTGGCCATATAGTGCATAGAAAGTAGCCAATTAGAGAGAGCCACTTCCCTCACCAGGCCACAAAAGGTAAGCACAGGGATAGAACTTGCCTGCTGGCCTATAAGCTTCCTGAGCAGAGGGATTCACCTGCAAAGATGAAGGTATTTTTCATCTTTACAGAACAACAGGATCCCCTAGGATAATAAGGATGGTAAGTTATAGGAATCCCTCAGGCCCTTGCTCAGAGCAGGTGTTTGGGAAGCACCTGTGTAAGTTTAAGAAAACAAAAAGAAAACTTACCAGCATCTGTCCTTTGGCCCATGCAGGAGTAGACAGAGGCCTGTAAATCACCCATGGCCACACCCACCTGCGTCCCCTTTGGGATTTCAAACCAGGAGTGGGAAGTTCTTCCTGCCACACTGCCTGGCTCAGCAATGTTGGGGAGCATGTGGACAGGAAAGCCCGAGACCCTCAGTCTGCAAAACAGAAGTGGACACCTGTATTACCTGGCTCTCAGCTTTCTGCTTTTTGTTGTTTCCAGGAGACTTAGCAAGGGAACATGCTATAGGTCACACATAGGAGAAGGAAGAATGGAAGCCAGTATCATCACAGACTTCCTCTTGAGCTTTTTTTGAAACCATGAACTTGGTTTTTGTAAATAGGGAACAAAAGCTTGGAATGCACCTTCCAGAGAAGAAGAAAACAACCAGTTTAAATCACAGCCATCAAAAAGGATGCAATCAGAGCCAGATTTTATAGCATTCTGGCCCCCTGTGTTTGAGGAAAACACAGACCCTCCGCAAAGGGAGGAGACCACAGTTTCAACACAAAGTTAGCGTTGGTTAGCACAGTCCAGACCAAAGTCAAACCCACCAGCCTCTTAAATGTCAAATGCATCCATCACTCAGGTTAGTGAATATAGGGCTGCCAAATTTTATAAAACATGCTAGAAAGTTCTTTACCTGAACTACCAGGTACTTTTTGCTTTTATTTCAGAGCTCAGAATTTGGGCCCTGAAGGAAGTAAACCTATAGGCACCGGACTTCTGTACCTGAAAAGGTAAATGATTGTTGAAAAATAACTTAAAATGCATCCCTCCAGACTACCTCCCATTCTTAATCTTATTTTAAAATGTATCAAACAATGGAAATTCCAGGTAGAAAACTCCAAAGAAGCTCTCACTCAGGAGGTTCCCTTCAGCCTGGAGCCAGCCTTTGAGGTTATACTCACATCTCCAAGTTCCAGCTTTGGCCCTGGGTGTTGAAATATCCCCAGCTAGCAGCATTCTGATCAGACATCAGGGGTCTTGGCAAGCCACACAGCATGGCAACCACGTAGTCTTGGATGGTGCCAGCTGCATCGTAGGACTTCAGGAAGTCTGGGCTGTTTTCACACCAAAAACAATTCAACTGGGTCTAACATGGATGCAGAAACATGTGCTGCACCTAGCTATGGACATTAGAAACTGGATTTGGTATAGTCGAGGCATAGCCACAACTCTATGTGCTGTGGCTCATGTTTAGCTAGAGCCCTGGGGTTAGGACCTCCCAGCTGCTCCAAGCAAAACCACCCAAGTCAGCCCTAAGGGGGAGGACTTGGGGAACTTGGGTAACTGCTATGCCTAGGAAAGCAGGACATGGTCCTGCTTTATTTCAGGACCTGAAGCCCTGACCCTACTGTGAACTCAACTTGGCAAATCATTTGGCCTCTCTGTCCCCTCCTCTCCCTCTCTTGATTAGAACTGGATAACCAATAGTGAGCCCTCTGCAAAATGAGCCATTCTGGATCAGATCCAGATCTGTGATGGCACAGTATGCCAGGCCACACTCACCAAAGCACAGTCTATCAGGTGGAGAGATGCTAATCAGCAGGAGGTTCGGCCTCCTGTCATCCCCCTAGAAATCCGCCACTGTCATCCCCCCTAGAAATCCACCACTGATTCAAAGAAGAGTTGTCTTACCTATTTTTCAAAAGCCAGAAGATGGTTGCACAGCCAAACCCTGTGGCCACACTGAGGTGGGACTCTGGCTGGGGCAGAGAAGCCAGGAACTCACTGCTACACCGGCCATCCTGCCATGTGACCAGGTAGCTCACAGCTCTGGGCTTGAACACAGGAGCAGCCTCTCCCTCTGTCCAGACACAGCCTGGAACAAACAAGATGACCAAAAATACAGAAAAGAGAACCCAAGTGGGCAGCAGCATGTCCTTGAGACGTCTCAGCTGGTGAGCTTAGGGTACAGGCACTTGAACCCTGTGGCAGTGCCTGGCTCACCCATGGCCCTGATATCATGGCTCTGTAGCCTTAAGCAAATGATGTTACTCCCTCCATTTGTCTCACTTCTGTTTCTTTTCCTTAATCTTTAAGTTGATATTATGTATCTCCCCACACCCCAAAAGTTGTTTGGTATACTCCCAAGTCCCCTGGTCTCCACAGTCTTTCCAACTCTCAGCATGATGATATTACCTAGTCTTGATTCTGAATGATTATCCTTTGATCTTAGCTAATTAATTTGGGGCAGGGGGTACTGGAGATGAAATCTAGAGTCTCACATGTGCTAAACACATGCTCCACCACTGAGCTACATCCCCAGTCCTGAGCTAATTAATTTTTAAACATCAAATTCCACTAAGAAATCTGGCCATCTATTATACTTTGCATCTGGACTATCCCCCAAAAGGCTTGGTCTCCAGCTGACTGTGGTATTGGGAGGTGGTAAAAACATTAGGAGGCGGGGCCTTGTTGGAAGGGGTTGGTCACTGGAGGTATGCCTTTAAAGTACACATTTTTGTCCCCAGACCTTGCCCCCTGACACACTTCTAGCTGCAATGAGGTGAGCACTGCCCTCTGCCACATGCTCCCTACCATGATGTTCAGCCTTACCACAGGCCCACAGCAATGGGACCAAATGGCCATGGACTAAAACCCTGAGCCAAAATAAACTTTTCCTCCTCTAAGTTGATTTTCTTTTTTTTTTTTTTTTTTTTAGAGAGAGAGAGAGAGAATTTTAATATTTATTTTTTAGTTTTCAGCGGACACAACATCTTTGTTTGTATGTGGTGCTGAGGATCGAACCTGGGCCGCACGCATGCCAGGCAAGAGCGCTACCGCTTGAGCCACATCCCCAGCCCCCTAAGTTGATTTTCTCAGGTATTTTATCACAGTGGCAGAAAGTTGACTAACAACACCAACTTTACTTCATTTATATTCTGAAACATCTTCTGGAATTTTCTCTGCTCTTATTTAAATAAATATTTCATCTAAAACTGTTTCCAGCCCAACTGGGTAAGGTGGCATACACCTTTTAAACCCTGTTGTTCCTTTATATAACTTTTGTTCTTTCTTCTCAAATATGGAATGTTTCCCATGCCACCACATAATATGAATACAACCACTGCTGCAGAACACTGGCATAAGGTGCCAGTCCAGAAAAGTTAACAGCAATTGAGGACACCCCAAATCTATTAGATGGAGGTAGGAATCTGGCTACCACTGAAAAATGGAGCCTGCCATGAGTCTAGCAGGTCAGATGTCACAGAAAGCTATTTTCTGGCAGTCTGATCTCAGATCCCAGATTTGGAAACCAAGGCTGTTATATTTTCCTGTAAATTCACTCACCAAGAAACAAAGAAACTTACCTGCCCCTCCCCACTTAGATCCAGGTCATGCAACATCCATTCATTCATTCATGCTTATGTGCCTGACTGTATGATATAGTTATTGAGTATCTAATGTATATTAGGTGCTGGTTCTAGGGTCTGAAAATATAACAAGAAAAAGTCTTCACAAAGCTTTGTCTTCACAAAGCTTATATGCCAGGGCTGGAGACAGAATATAAATAAGCAAATGTACAGTGCCAGGTACTTTTACTTTCTATGAAAAATATGCAGCAGGGTGAGGGGAGAGACAGTGATGATTGTTTGGGGGTGGTCAGGGAAGTCCTCTCTGAGGTGACATTGGGGGAAGGAGAACGTGAATGGATTAAGGGTGTAAGTCTTTAAGAATAGCAAGGGATACTTGTTGCAGGTGAATGGAACAAGGAGGGTAAAGGACCTTGTCAAGCAATCTCTGGTTAACATTCCTGGCCAATACCCAGCACAGCAGGGAGGCATGTTACAGGATCTTGTACCTGCAACATCTTCTTGGTATCATATTAACTTTCACCTGGAAGCAGGGGAATAGGGTGGGGATGGAAACAGGGAAGGGGTCCTCCTGAGAATAATCTACCCCACAGCTGCATTTCTACCTAAATGTAAACCTGGGATTCTTTTTTTAAACCTGGGATTCTTATCCCAGCCCTAAAGCTGGATGTTTACAGTGTTTTTTTTCTCTCTCTCTCTCTATTTGCTTCCAAAACTCTTTTGATCCCATTTTTAATTTTTTTCAAACTATCATAAAATAAATAGAGTACCAGACAATGTTCAAAGCACTCAAAATATTAATTCATTTAATCTACATGATAACTTTATAAGACAGGATCATAATTTTCCCCAAATAAACAATGAAGAAAATACACATAAGAAAATGAAACACAATGTTTTCAAAATTTGCCCAAGTTCACATAGCTTCTAAGTGATAGAATCAGGATTCAAATTTAGATAGTCTATTCTAGAATTTGACATAATGGAGATCTCATTTTCTTTCTATATTTCTTTTCTTCTTTTTTTTCCTTGAATAGAATTGATACATTTTTAAGTTTTTGAAGTAGTGGGGATTAAACCCAGGGCTTGGCACGTGCCAAGCAAGTGCTCTGCCACTGAGCTACATCTGCAGCTCTTTTTTTAAAGTTTTTAATGGCAAAAGTGATAAATAAATACCATACTTATTGTTGTCCACAACATGTTCTTGAGTTCTTTGTCAATATGGCTTGAGTGTACTTTCCTCTTTTTAACTACTGCATATGTATGGGCCTACCGGCATTTATTTAATTTGTCCCCCAGGTAAATGTCACATTTTCACTATGGTGTAAAGGAGGATGCAGTGAAGGACCATGAGGGTGCCTCCTCGAGGATATATGTGTTCCAGAACTTTTCCTGGACAGGTTCCAAATAGTAGAATTCCTGAGTTATAGCTGTTCCCTTATTTTAATAGTTCCTCCAAAATAGCTCTCCTAATTTATCCTACATCAGGATTTTTAAAAGAATCAGTTTTTCACTAGGCACAGTGGCTCAGGCCTGTAATCCCAGCAACTCCAGAGGCTGACACAAGAGGATCACAAATTCAAGGCCAGCCTCCTTGGCAACTTAGATAGACCCTGTGTCAAGAAATTAATAATAAATAAAAGGACTGGGGGTGTAGCTCAGTAGTACAGCACCCCAGGGTTCAATCCCTAGAACCTAAAAAAAAAAAAAAAAAAAAAAAGAACCAGTCTTCTAACCATTTTCACAATTTTTTTTTGGGGGGGGGGATACAATATTTATTTATTTATTTTTATGTGGTGCTGAGGATCGAACCCAGTGCCTCATGTATGTGAGGCAGGCATTCTACCACTGAGCTACAACCCCAGCCCCATTTTCACAACTTTTGATGTTTCCAAATTTTTTGATTTTTCACCATCCAATAGGTGGAAATGACTTCTCGTTGTTGTTCTCATCTGCACTTCCCTAATTTATTAATGACATGGAGCATCTCCTCATATGTTTATCAGCCATCATATTTCCTCTTCTAGGAATTGCCTGTTGGGATCCTTAGCCCATTTGTCCTCTCTTTGTTATTGTTTCTTTATTTATACTGATATCTGTCCTTCATCTCCTCTATATTGGCAAATATTTCCTCCAGTCTGATGCTCGCCTTTTAGTTTTGCTTTATGATCCCTGTTGCTCTCCTGCTTTTACTGAGCCTGAAAATGGAATCTGAAAACAGGCGTAACCACAGGACTCTCAAGAAGATATTCATCACTCCCTCCCCTCCAAGTTGCTGGCCTATGCCCTCGTGGAAGCACTTAGCTCTCTGCTCAAGTTACTGGTGCCCAACTGTGCTGGCTATGTTCTAGAAGGTAGAGGTTTCATCTGCTCATTTCTATATCTCCCTCAGGGCCCAGCACAGGGCCTTGTATGTTGTGGATACTGAAACCAAACTTAATTAAGGCTGCCACTGAACGGGAACAACTTGATCCCAAGTACAATTTCACTCAGTCCCACTAAGCAGGAATCATCACCACCAAACAATGTCTTTCCTCCTTCCCAGAAACCAGCAGCAAAACAAGGAGATGCTGGGCTGGCTCAATGAAATATTAAGAGTTCTTTCCAACAATGTGGCCGATGGATGGTTTGTGTGGTTGGTACAAAATCTAGGAGACGGGCAGAAAGGAAGATGTGCGACCAGACCACAATCATTATATCTCTGCTCTCTTCTTTGGGAAGGGTTTTAGTATTAAAAGGACATTTATTCTCATTAATGCAAAATTAAGGAGTTTAAAAAGCTTTTACAACCTAGGCTCCCTCGGAGAGGTCGGCTCCAATGCCCTAATCGGCCTTCTGCTTCTGCCATAGCTTGGAGCCAAGCGGCTCCCATAGTTTCAAAGAGCCTGACATCAGGCACACTAGGAAGGGGAAGAGAGAGAGATTATGTTGGCTTCTACAGTTCCCCTCCCCATCCTGGGCAGTTATCAAAGGATGTCACTAGACCCCAGTCACTGACAGGCAAGTCACCAACCACTCACTCAGTCTACAGCCACCCTTTTCTGCCTGAAGAGTCAGAAACAAAACAACACCTGGACTCAAATGCTGATTTTGTTGAAACCAGATGATAGGTATGTGTTGGTTCATCATACTATTCTCCCTATTGTATATTATATAAATTGTTTTAAAAACAATTGAATGCCTAGCATAACAGGGAGGTCATGACTTTCTATAGGAGTCTAATCCTTCCTGGGACATTCTGTTGGGAAATCCCTCCCTTTACTGAGTCATCATGTCCTCCTGGAGCTTTGCTCCTCCTAAAGGCCTTTAAAAGCTCAGTGCCTGAAGACAGACAGACCTGCGTGCACAAAATGGAGTCACTGCTTGCGGCCATATGACTCTGAGCACATTATTCCAGCCTCTCTGAACTTCAACTCCTCATCTACACAATGGGGACAGTCACGTTCCATCATAAGGTTGTGGGAAAGATCGATGAGATCATGTAGATAAGGTCCTTAGCCTAGTATCTGACACGTGCAGTGCTTCTTGTTGCTTTACTGGCTTAGTTTCCCCCAGGAACCAAACAGGTCAGCCTCCTCTGCATTTTGGCAGACCTATATCAGATGATACACTGAATAAAACTTTGCAACTGAGCCCTTAAAAAGAATACTCCCTAGAATTTTTTTTTTTTTTTGAAATCATCAACATCTGTGGTTATGTAAAGAACAAAATCTATGCCCCAATTCTAAAGAGTTTCCTCTGTGTCTTGACATCTCACACAGTAACAGGTAATCTCTTGGTTGTCAGCACTAATGTTCTGAGACGCCAACACAAATAGAGAGAGAGGGGCTGGGGATGTGGCTCAAGTGGTAGCGCGTTTGTCTGGCATGCATGCGGCCCGGGTTCGATCCTCAGCACCACATACAAACAAAGATGTTTTGTCTGCCAAAAACTAAAAAAATAAATATTAAAATTCCCTCTCTCTCACTCCCTCTTTAAAAAAAAAAAGAGAGAGAGAGCTGCAGAAAATCCACTCTGCTGAAACCTACAAAAGAATCACAGGAGACTCATTCTTTTCTCCCTGTCTGTTCATGGATAGATAACGTGCAAATGACATGCAAGTGGACAGTTCACTTCATTATACATTTGAACCAAACAAAATGTACACGAAAGACAAGGAATATTATGTGCTATTCCGTTTTGAGAAGCAATAAACTATTCCCATAGCAGAATAACCTGATGCTGCTCAAAGAGGACTTCATAGCACTTTTCTCATTTGGTAAGTGACTATCAGCAGCAAGCGATCATCCCCTGAGCCCAGCATACCTTGGCCTGTTTTCCAAAATACGATGCCATGCATCTGTCCTGACACTCCAATGGCCCTAACTTTCCGAAGCTGCTGCTGGGGAAGGGCAGCAAGGCATTCATTTAGGGCTTGAATGATTCTGCTCACATCCTGCTCCCGCCCCTGTAAACAGAACAGGACAGGTCAGGGACAGACAAAAGGTCAGGGGGAGGCGGGCAGGCCTAAAGGATTTCCTGGAGGATGGCTGCCCTGCTCATTCCACTGGGGTCACTTCCAAGACATGCTGAGCAGCCCTGGGTGAAGGCTGGGGGTGGGAGGTTAGGACTGCAGCTGGCAAGAAACCACACTCTGGCTTCACATATGAGACACTGTTGCAAATGAGGTTTACCATATGGCTCAGGCTCTGCTCTTCACCATGGGTCAGTCTGAGCTAAGAAAAGCACTCCTTCATGCCATCAATAGGGAAAATCACAGAAGGGTCTTCTTTACAAGGCATATGGGGTGATGAGGCTGGAGGATGCAGCAGGGAGGAGCCTGGCAGGTGTAGGAGCTAAGGGAAATTTCTCTTCCTTTCCCCTCCATTCCAGAGTAAATCGAAGAAAATGCATATGGATATGTTAATGTGCAGAAGAGAAAAATCTCAGTGTGGAGGAAAATGATAGGAGTGAAAGTACCCATGAGCCCACCATGATTCAGAATCTTGTGTACCCTTTTCCTATAGGAGAGGAGAGAATGGGAAATGCAGACAACTTTGAGAATTCTTAAATGATAATTAGGAGGCAGACAAAATTGAGCTTGTAAAGTGATTCTCTTTGGAATTTGAATGAGTCCAAGGGACAGACATTTTCTAGTGAGGTCTGTTTAGTCCTCAGTCTTCTTTTCTGGGATAGATGAGATTTCAGGTAGGGATGGGAGGCAGTTCTTACTCCTTAGCAGTCCTCTTGTTTGTCTGGTTGGTTGGTTGGTTGGTTGGTTGGTTTGGGGGGTTTTGTTTTGTTTTTGAGATGGGATCTCACTGTGTTGTCCAGACTGGCCCTAAACTTCTGGGCTTCAATGATCCTCCCCACATCCTGCCTAAATTTTATACATCTTGAATCAGGGTTTGGGCAAGTTCAGATTGGGTCTTCAGAGTCATATGGGGAAACACATTTTGACATCTTAAAGCTAAAGAAAGGCCAACTCCAATCCAGCATTATATCCAAACGGTTGGAATTACAGACATCATTATAGCCATCATGGCCTATTCCAAAGTAGGCAATGAGGGGATGCAAACCTAAGAAATCTAGTCACTGTGACCACTTCATTCCTTTGAATTATTAAGTCCCTGTCAGACTGTGACCCCAAGGTCACATCCCGTTCTAGGAGATGTCTAGAATACTAGGGCTCATGTTAAAGTGCTTTTAGTGCCTTGGGCCTTTCTTGACAGCATCTTTCCTAGTTGGGGTTCAGAGAACGATACCCCTAGATATGGCATTTGGGGGCATACTGAAAAATGATCTAATTTGATCGAAAGGAAACAAGAAGGCCTTAAAATCAGGTTCAGAACTCAATAAATTTTGCTGGCTATGATGGCACACATCTGTAATCCCAGCAACTTGGGAGGCTAAAGCAGTAGCGTCTTAAGTTTGAGGCCAGCCTGGGCAACTTAGTGAAAACGTTTTTCAAAATAAAAAATAAAAATAGCCTTTGACGTAGCCAGTGGTAAAGTACCCCTGGGTTCAATCCCCAGTACCAGGGGAAAAAGAAAAGAAAAAGAACTCTCTAAATCTCAACAACACATTCACTTGGGGAAGTAACCCAAGTAACATCATTGTTTTCTTGGTGAATAAGTAAATTTCAAAGTAGAAAGAGGAAAAATTAAATGTATATGCATGTTTAAAAGAATCATACCACCCAGTATGGTGGCACGCATGTAATCCCAGCTACTCTTTGCTTTTGCAACTTCTGAATCATTCATGCTCTACCACTGAGGCAAGAGGAATATAAATTCAAGGATTATTAATATTTGTGCTTAAGAATCTTGGTGTACTTAGCATTTAAGTAAATTTATATTTTTAAAGGAATCTGGCCTTGGCTGCCTTCATAATTACAATTTAAAATGTGCAATCAAGTAACTGATCTAGATTTGTGATTATAAATTCAAATCTCACTACTTATAAAAGGATTTGAAACATATAAGAACATTAAAGTTCACTTGGGTATATATCTAATTTATTCAATTTATAAGAATAACTTAGATATTCTAAAAATATTTAAGACAGACAACTTGTGAAAATAAAAAGAAAAATCATAATGAAAACAACATTGAAAAAGAAAGAAAGTAACATTGAAGGAGATTTCCAAAGCCAGACAAGAGGCCTTTGGAAACAGGACTTAATGTTCAATTTAAACTCCTGCCTATCAGTGGTAGAGTGCTTGCCTAGCATGTGTGAGGCACTGAATTCGACTCTCAGCACCACATAGAAATAAATAAATTAAATAAAGGTCCATCAACAACTAAAAATTGAAAAAAAAAAAAAAAAAACACCTCCTGCCTAGAATGACAAGTTGGTCACCTTCCCCCTTGTACTATAGATTCTATAACAGATAATTAATTACATTGTGTCCAGAGAGTCAAGATGTATACTGAGAGGAATTGAACTCTTATTACGTGGACCTTTTTACTAAAACATAATCATTCTTTTCTTTATCTTCTACCAGGCACCTAGCCCCTGTCATACAGCACTTGTTCTTCAATTTCAATAGAAATTCCCTAAAAAGGAATTTTTTTCTTCTTTGCACTGTCTGCCCATTGGAACACTGATTCAGAGCTGTGTCTCCTGAACTGCAATTCCTGTCACCCCAAATAAAGTCCTTTGATTTTGCAATTTCTGATTCGTTCATGCTCTACCACTGAGCTCCACCCCAGTCCAGTTTCTGAGTTTGAATTGTTCAACAAAAGCAGTCCCTCAACAAGAAAAGAGACCAAGTATATGACTGCAATTTAAAACATCTAAGGGGGCTGGGGATGTAGCTCAGTGGTAAAGCACTTGTCTAGCATGTACAAGCTTGTCTAGCCCTGGGTTTGACCCCCAACACCACACAAAAAAAAAAAAAAACATTTATATACATGTTTAAAATGTTCAAAAATAAAAATAAAATAAAGGAGCCAGGTGTGGTGGTGCATGTCTGTAATCCCAGCAGCTCCGAAGGCTGAGGCAGGAGGATCACAAGTTCAAAGCTAGCCTCAGCAATGGCGAGTCACTAAGCAACTCAGTGATGCCCTGTCTCTAAATAAAATACAAAATAGAACTGGGGATATGGCTCAGGGGTTGAGTTTCCCTGAGTTCAGTCCCCAGTACTCACCCACCTCCCAAAATAAAATAAAATAAAGGGCTGGGGTGCAGTTCAGTGGGTAGAGCACTTGCCTAGCATGCGTGAGGCTCTGGATTCAATCCTCAGTATTGAAAAACAGAGTAAAGCGAAAGGTTAGACTTTTTTGTTGTTGTTGTTTCTTCGTTTTCTTTTTCTTTTTTTAATGTTACTTATAAAAAGAACTGATACATTTTTAAATGTTATTAGTGGAATAATCTTTACAAGCTAAATTTAACCTTGAGAGCTTGTTTGGAGGTTCTAGCAGGGGAGCGCAGCTACTCGTATACCCTTGACCGAAGAACGGTCCTCCTCTATCGGGGAAGGTCGTCCTCTTCGACCGCGCGCGCAGCTTCGGGAGGGACGCACATGGAGCGGTGAGGGAGGAAGGGGACACCCGCCTAGCCAGCCAGATCAGCCGAATCAACCCTGGCGATCAATGGGGTGACAGATGTCGCAGCCAGATCGCCCTCACATTCATACAAGCTAAATTTAAAAACTTAAGAAATAGTGTTCCAAATTTTATAAATTGAATATTTTTATCTCACTAAAAATAAACTGCTTCTGGCACACAAAAATTACCTCAAGTCACAAAATTTATATTTAACAACTGGAAGGATCCATGGAAAGTTCAGAGAAAGGGAAGAGAAATGTGACTCAGCTTTCAATAAATATCAGTTCTTTGGGCAGCTGAAAAAGTCTATGATTTTGGAAAAGCATCCAAAGACCTTAAGCCCCTCAGGTCCCTCCAGGGAGTGCAGCCTTCCCCTCCTTGGAACAAACCTGCTGACCTTGGTCAGGGGCAGTTTTTGGCCCCTAATAAAGATGAACAAAGAACAAAGAAGGAAGTCAAGGAGGAGTAGGATGGGGGAAGGAGTAGAGAGGGAACACAAAGCATTTTCCTGAGGCACAGCCCCAGATCCTAACAAGGATCCTTTGTATATGGAAGGGACAACAGGCAAACTGGCAGAGAAGTGAAAGACAGTGGGACACAGAGGAGGACCATGGCTCTGCATGATCCCCAATGAGGAAGCAAAAGAGCAAAGGGGGAAGAGGAAGGAAGGAGCAGGAAAGAGACATTTGTTTAGTCCTACACTGTTCAAGAGGGCAGCCATTAGCCACATGTGGTTTGTCTGAATTGAGATCTGTTATAGGTATAAAATACACACTAAATTGCAGAGTCATCGTGAAGAAAAGAATGCATGATATCTCATTAATAAATTTCTATTGATTATTACACGTCAAATATATTACACACATTAGTTACATAAAATATGTAATTAAAATTAATTTCATCGGTTTTCCTTTTATCTCTTTTAACCAGACTACTCAAGAACTGAAAATTACCCAACATGGCTAACATTTGTGACTCACATTTCTATTAGGCAGTGCTGGTTTAAAGAGTCCCCACATGGCCATCAGATGGTACATCATCCCAAGATAGAGAAGCCACTGTTTAAAATGGGTCCAGGGTGGGTGAGTTGTGAGGGTGGAAACAGTGGAGGAGGGAAACAGGCTGGATGGGATCAACACAAGGAGACAGTGTTCTGCAGTTCCAGTTTTAGGGGTGAGTGTGCTCTGGGGGTAGCCCTTGGATAGACAATGGACACACCCAAAGTATAATGGAAAAGCCTTTGCCCCCATTTCTTGGTTCAGAATATCAATCTGTCCACGTCCACATTAAATCCTAAAACTTTTTTTTTCTATACTGGGAATTTAATCTAATCCAAGGACACTCTTAACACTGAGAAGGACACTCTAACACTGAGCTACACCCTCAGCCCTTTTAATTTTTGTTTTTGTTTTTTTTTTTTTCTTTTTGTGAGACAGGGTCTCACAGAATTTAACAATCCTCTGTGGCTGGGATTAGTCATGAGCCACCATGCCCAGATAAATGCAAGGACTTAGAAACTTATTCACACACACACACCCCTTTTGACGGCTGAAGAGCCTGAAGTCCAGAGGAAAAATAAATAAATTTTAAAAAATTGTTTGTAGTTGTAGATGGACAGAATGCCTTTATTTTATTCGTTTATTTTTATGTGGTGCTGAGGATTGAACCCATTGCCTCACACATGCTAGGCACACATGCCACTGAGCTACAGCCCCAGCCAGAATCTCTGTATTTTGACTGGGTGTGGTGGCACACACCTGTGATCTTAGCCACTAGGAAGGCTAAGGAAGGAGAATCACAAGTTCAAGGCCAGCCTCAACAATTTATGGAGACTCTCAGCAACTTAGCAACTATCTCAAAATGAAAAACAAAAGGGGTTGTAATTATGTAATTAAAATTAATTTCATCCGTTTTCCTTTAAAGAGTCCCCACATGGCCATCAGATGGTGTATCATCCCAGGATAGAGGTTGTATTTCAGTGGTAGAGAGCCCCTGGGTTCAATTTCAAGTAGTAGTAGTAGTAGTAGTAGTAGTAGTAATAATAATACTTGTGTTTTAAATTGTTAATACCTAAAATCCTGATCTTCACCACATAGCTGCCAAGTTTGACCTTGTTATACACAGTACTTAGTGATGAGTAAAAAGTACAGACATGCCAGGCAGTGGCACGTGCCTGCAATCCTAGCAACTCTGGAGGCTGAGGCAGGATTGCAAGTTTGAGGTCAGCCTGGGCAACCTAGCAAGGCCCTGTCTCAAAATAAAAAATAAAAAGGGACGGGGGTAGGGCCGGGTGTGGTGGCACACACCTGTAAGCCCAGGTGTGGTGGGAGGTGGAAGCAGGATGATCGCAAGTTCAAAACCAACCTGAACAATTTAATGAGGCTTGCTAAGCAATTCAGTGAGACCCTGTCTCTAATAAAATACAAAATAGGGCTAGGGTGGCTCAGTGGTCGAGTGCCTCTGAGTTCAATCCCTGGTACCCAAAAAAAAGGAGATGTGTGTATAGCTCAGTGGTAGGCCACCCCTGGTTTAAATTCCCAGTACTGAAAGAAAAATGTACCCACAAAAAAAAAAAATATAGCCATCAGATGTTGCTATAGATTGGTGGTTCTCACTCAGGGGTGATTTTGGTTCCCTGGGGACAACTGGCAATGGGAAGACATTTTTGGTTGTCGCAATGGGAGGGGGGAAGTGCTACTAGCATCTAGAGAGTTGAGACCAGAATGCTACTAAACATTCTAAATACATAGGACTGTTCTCAAAACAAAGAATTATTCAGCCCAAAATGTCCACATGCCATGGTTGAAAAACCTGCTGTAGACAAAATCCCAGCAATGCAGTTTTTCTCAGAGCACAGCTCATATGTGGAGGATGTATGGAGGGTGCTACTATGGACCCCTCCCCCAAGTGCCTCACTGAACAGGTACAACCTGCTGGGTTTGCCTGTATGCAGAGAACAGCCTGCTGAATGCTGTGGGAAAAGGGAAAGGTTTTTAACAAGTGGCCCTATTTCAAGAGGAAATGGCACCCCTGAACCCCTTTCCTGCAATCCCAACTTCACTGTCCACTCCCACAGGATCAGAGCCAACTTTGCCTCTATTTCGTAGTCCATGAAGTAAAATGATCATTCTAAAACACTCTGCTACCCCAACCAAGCTAGTTTTGAAAGCCTCTATAAAAACACAAAGTGCTCCTGAAATCCTTTACCCTCTGAAATGCGGCAAGCAAGAGCTTATGAAAAACAAAGCTCTTGGGGATGGGGCTTGGCTCAGAAAATTGAGGTTTCTGGCTGGAAGGCACCGAAGAGGTCACTTATTTCAATTCAGAGAACAAGCTGAGGCACGGAAAAAAAGTCAGAGGTTAGACAGAAAAGCTCCTTGATAGTAATTTCTACTGTCAATTGACTAGACATAAAGCTAACTTTTTCAGGAAATGGACAAGATCCAGTTTGGTTTGTTTTGGGTTTTTGGGGGGGTGAGGGATATTATCTATTTGTGGGTGTTTGTTGTTGTTTGTTTTTATAGTGCTGGGGATTGAACTCAGGGCCTTATGCCTGCTAGGCAAGTGCTCTACCACTGAACATCACCCCCAAGTCTTTTTTATTTTTATTTTTAAACAAGGTCTGGCCAAATTTCTGAGGCTGGCCCCCTGAGGATTACAAGCAAGTGCCACTGTGGCCAGTTTGAACAGGATCCAGTTCTAAGGACTGACTCATCCAGTTTTTTTTTTTTTTTTTTTTGATCCAGTTTCTTAACCCACCTATATATCCCAACAGAGCCCATTATCCTGTTTCTACCGAGTAACTCCCACAAGCCATTAGCTGTAGTTTATAGGTATCAAGCTAATCCTTTTAAAACAAACATTTTAATAGACTCGTCTTTCAGTGTCTAACTGCTCTGAATTCTTTTCTCCAGGTGTCTCACAGTCTTTGGGAGCTGGGAGACTATTGCTGATAAGTGTTTTTGAGTATTTAAATTCACATTTGCTTTTACAAATGTAGGTCTGATTTCCAAAGGACAACCTAGACTCTGCCCTAGGCAATAAACTGATTCCTGACCTTGAGGGCACGGGACAGAGGTGAGGAGCAGAGAGCAGCCAGAGAAACTGGGAGGCCCTTGGGTATTCCATATACACAGGAAAGCGACTCCTCGCAGGTCAGAAAGTGGAGGACAGAAAGCACAGATCCAGCGCCATAAGCAGGGCCCCCAGAGATTGCCAGAGAGTGGGGAGGTAGTTGCCAACAGGTGGGAAAGCTCCTGGGACAGGACTGCAGAGCTGCTGCAGACAGCGAGGCCCAGACAAGTCAGGCGGATGTCAGCCAGGCTGGAGAGGTCAGGGAGACTTCTTTGAGGGAGGGGGCTTCCAGGAAGGCCTTCCTGAAGAAGTGGGGTGTCAGGAGCCTCTCGGAGGCGGCGGCTCCAAGGCGCTGCCTCACCTGGGGCCCGGCCGCCTCGCTCTCGGCCTCCGCCCGCGAAGCCCGCGCGCAGCTCGCCAGTACCATGAACCCGGACGGGTGGCCCGGCGCGGCCTCCAACAGGGCCACCTTCACGGACGTGGTGCCCAGGTCGATGCCGAGAGTAACCAACCCAGAGGCCATAGCGGCGGTAACCCGGTGGCTCCAGTTTCTTAACCCAGGCTCACTCTTCACCCGGGAGGGAGGAGCCGGGGCGGGGCTTCGCCTGCCAGTCTTTCAGCCACACTCAACATGGCGGCCTCTTCTCTTCCCATTGGCCGAGGACTCTCACGCCCTCCAGACGGGACCCAGAGGGTTCCGCCCTTAGGGCAAAGGTTCGGGGACTGGATCGTTGACCCAGCTTCTCTCCCTGAAGCAGCACAGAGTTCACCTGTAAACCATGCAGGCTCCGAGAGAAATGGCTTGACTTTCCTTCACACGGGAGCCCCCATCTCTGCCAAGGCCTTTCGCTCTCCCCTTAACCCTGCCTAGCTCTGGCCTGCTGAGACGTAAAAACTACAACTTCCAGAGGGCCTTGCGCGGAGATCTGGCCTCCATAAGTCAGGTGGCTCAAGTCAGGTGACAGCTGGGCCCGCCCTCACACAAAGTCTGAGCGGCCCGGGGAATCGGGTACATTCCCAAGCGGCACCTGGCGCGAGGTTGCTGCGAACGGTGAGATAGGTCCCCGGAGCCTAGGAAGCTCTCTGTGAGGTGAGAGTCGGCAGGACCTGGACAGCCTCCCATTTCCCAGGCGGACCCCCTAAGGCCTAGAGACTGGCACAGCACGTCAGCTGGACAGCCTGCCGCGGATCCAGCCCCCTTAGCCGCGCCTGGGTTCCATCTGCTGTCACCAGTCCTGGCTTGGTGACACCGGACAGACCTAACGTTGATGGGAGAACTCGGGTGGTGGTGAGCGGAACCTGGGACACTGGGCTGTCGGGATGGTGTGTGGATGACTCTACCTTAGAGTGCTTCAGTCCCCTTCCCCGCCTCCTGCTTCGCTGCCGCTTGAATCTGGGTGTGCAGATCGCTTGAAGAGGGCAGACGCTGAGGTGACCGTTCCAGGAATTCCTGTTAATTTGCCCAGTGCTAGTCTCCGGGGCAGTCAGCAGGAGGAAATCCCGACCCTGCCCTCTGGGGTTCTCAAACTGAAGGAAGGGAGGACAGCTGAACCCTTGTGAGAGCTTGCTAGGTGCCCTAGGGAACAGTAGTAATTGCTTTACATCATTGTTTCTCAATCTGTTTACCCTTGTCAACCCACTCCCACCTTCAGATTTTTAATTGTGCTGATAAACTGTACTTGTTTATATATTATGGCACTTGGGAGAACCAAAAAGCAATGCATTATCTTAGGGTTGTTTTTTTTTTTGCAACATCCCCAGAAACCAATTGTAGCCCCCATCGAGAATTCATGCTTTACATCTCATATCATTTAAATCCTATGTGGTAGTGAGATTAGATAGTTAGAGAATCAATCTGACTTTTAAGCATTTTAATCAATTTATCTATCAGTGTCTTTTTGTCTTTTCTGGAATCCTTCCTGCTGAGTGTCTCAGCCTTTGGGGATGAAGGACTTTTGCTGACCAAGTGTTCAAGACAGTCTGTGAAATGAGGAAGAAACTGGGTTTTTTTTGGGGAGGGGCGGGGGGAGCAAGAACCCTAAAGACAATAAAACTGAATTCTTTCTTTCTGTTAACTAGGTTGCAAAAAGCAGTTGAAGAGGAAAAAATTAAAGTCTGTGTTCACTTCCTCAGGGTGGGACTTTACATAACCTTCTAAGCTGTTCTGAGCTAGTTTCCCCATATATCAAAGAAAGATAAGTCCTCTTCTTTCTTCATAGAAAGAAGGATCCCCTTCTCTGAGGTTGTGGTGCAAAACCCATGAAGTCAGAAATGTGAAGTGAAAGTCCTTTTATGGGCCATTCCATGCCATGATTGTGGGAGCATATCATCTTCCTAAAGCTGAGCTGATTCATCCTTAACATGATGTTCTCTTACTGTTTGTTTTTTCTTCCTAGTTCTGCAAAATCAAGGAACATGATAAGGAATTGGCTGCTTATTTTTATCCTTTTCCCCCTGAAGCTTGTAGAGAAATGTGGTAAGTTTAAAAATGAGTCATCAACTTTTAAAAAAGAGAAACAAACAGTGAGTAACCTGTCCTCTTTGTCACCGAAGGTCTACTATTGTCCAGGCCATGCATATCTGCCTGCCCTTCAGCCACGTGGTCTGCTCTGGGGCCCAGGAGTTTCACAAAGAGCCAGATGTGTCCACAAATAATTGTCCTTCTTCCCTCAGGTCCCTGTTCCCTTTTCCACATCACTAAAGTCAACAGTTGGTTCTTAAAGTCAGATTGTACAAGTGGTTCTCAAAGTCAAACTGTGGAGTTCCAACAAGCTGAGATAATATCTGTGAAAAATGACTTAGGTTTATACCCCATGGACCTCACCAAGAGAGCCAGGTGTTCTGGGAGACACTGGGGAGCCAAATGACATGTCTACCTTACTGTACTTGATCCTTCCAGATACAGACACCTGAGGAGTCTTCCTGACATTACCTTGTAATAAACTAAAACCTTTCCCTTAGAGAGGATCAGAGGACCAGGGAATAGCAGCTAACAGGGATAGGGGGACCACAGAGAAGCAGCTGGTATCAGGGTTTGCATGTCTTTGTAGGAGGGACCTTCGAGTGCTGTGTCAATTCTAGCTGTTCTCCCACTATGCAAAGCATTTCTGAAATTCCATCCAATGAAAAACTCTGTTTAGCACTCCATGGGTGCCAGTCCCATTATTTTGATCATTAACTTGGCTGTTGTTAAAAAGCAAATGCATCTTGGGGCTGAGGTTGTAGCAGAGCACTTGCCTAGCATGTGTGAGGCACTGAGTTTGATCCTCAGCACCACACACATAAATAAATAAATAAATGCAGATGCATCTTGAAATCCCTGACTAAAGGGGCTGAGGATATAGTTCAGTGGTAAAGTGCTTGCCTAATATGCACAAGACTTTGGGTTTAATTCCCAGCACTGTGAAAAAAGAAAAAATCCTTGACTGAAGATTTCAAGTGAACTGGTACAAACCATGCCAACCCTGCATGTATTTTCTTAGAGCTATGCGTAATGGTTGTACCATTAAAGTTATCTAGCCTTTTAATCTCTGAGGAAACAATGGTCATCTGATCAGCTTTGTTAAATATTGGTCATGTTACTTTGTGGTCACATCTTGTTGATAATTTGTGAAAAGGGCAAGGTCCCTCTGATCATGAGGTCCATTGTTTCTCAGTAGGGATGCCAGAGTATTGAGAGAATGGCTCTCTGGAATTAAGGTTAGAGTGTAAGTGCATGTGTGCATACACATTGAACCTCCTTTTAGTAATGCTAATAAATTCCCTTAGCTAAGAAATAAGAGAAAATTAAGCTTCCACTACTCCAGTTATATAGAGGGGAAACTGAGGCCAAGACAGAGTAGAATTCAGAGCTAGATTGAAACAAAGCTAAGACTTTGCTAGGATCTCTACTCCATTATATCACTTTGCCTCCTTTCCTGAATGTCATTATGAAAGAATAGTGTGAGTTACCATAAAATCAAGCACCTGGAGCTAGATTTCTAGCTGATTCTGCTGTACCCTTCTTCTGTGCTTTGAGGAGTGATCTTAGGACTATAGATGAGATGAGTGATCTCCGGAGTATTTATCTCTGACTTCTTTGGGTGGAATCTAAGGCAGTGCAGCCTAGCAGCAAGAACCTGAGCTTTGGATCCGACCATTCCAGGTTTGACTCCTGCCCCCACCATTTTTAAACTATATGGGCAAGACACCTTCCCTCTGAGAATTTTCAGCTTTCTCATATCTAAAGTAGGACTGAAAAAGTGCCTACCCCTGACTGGCAATATAGCCTAGTGGTATATTGCTTGCCTAGTATGCACAAGGTCCTGGGTTCAATCCCCAACACGACAAAATCAACAAATAAGTAATTCCCTTTTCCACATCAAAAAATAAATGAGCCGGGCACCATGACTCATGCCTATAATCCCAGCAACTTGGGTGCCTGAGACAGTAGGATACCAAGTTGGAGGCCAGCCTCAGCAACTTAGTGAGGAAGGCCCTCAGCAACTTAATGAGACCCTATCTCAAAATAAAAGGGCTGAGGGTGTAACTCAGTGAAAGTGCCCCTGGATTAAATCCCTAGTACCAAAAATAAATATATAAATTAATTATATTAAATGCCTGCTCCTTGTAATAATTACAAAATGGGAGTTAAGAATATAGTGGAGTGGCTGGCATGAAATTAGATGAAGAGCAGGAGAGGTCCCAGTAAGTATTAGTTAAAAACAAAACAAAACAGAGCCTGTTTAGTGAAAACTGAGGTGGATTCACTGTGACTCCTTTGGTAATTATGATATGGTGTCTAAAGGCTCCCACCCCAGAGCGAACTTTAAGATGTACTTTTCCAGGTTATGGTACCAGCTTCCTGGCTGCTAAAATGTCCTGTATTTCAAAATGATGATGATGATAGTAACCAATAATTATTTCATATGCAGGTCAAGTGGAAAGCATGTTACAAACATTACTACCTTTTATTTTCACAGTGATCCTTTAAGATAGGTCTTGCTATTTTCCCCCATTTTACAGATGAGGAAATGGAGACTCAGAGAGATTCAGTACCTTACCCATGATCACATAGCTAGGAAGAGTCAGAGCCATGGTGGAACTGTGTGATTTCAGAGTGTTAAATACTGCTGTCTTTTGTGGTGCTGAGTGAGGGGGACATAAACATTCTTGGATCTGGTTCCTTGAGAGTTCATAACTTCCTCCTTTTACATGCAAAGTCTGTGAAAAATCTAAGGCCTTGTGGATCTCCCACTCACTCTGACCACTGTTCCAAAAGAACCCTAGGTACCTAGAGGTATGGGTGGCTGCCTGATGTCATTTTTAGTACCCCTGTCCTGAGCAGTGGCTCTTTATGGGACTTGGTTATCTGGTGTGGTCCTCAGTTCTGGGTAAAATGAACTGCACCACCCCAGTTTGCAAGACCAGAATAAAACCTCAGATAGGTATCAGAGCATTGGTGCTCCCTTCTGCAGCACATATACTAAATTGAAATGATATCAGAGCAGTGAAAATGAAAACAAAAAGTGGGACAGAGTCACCAAATTGCCTCCAGGTCCTGAGGCTATAGTTAACTATGAGAGGGACCTCCAGGCATTGTGGTGCACACCTGTAATCCCAGTGGATCAGGTGGCTGAGGCAGTAGGATCATGAGTTCAAAGCCAGCCTCAGCAAAAGCAAGGCACTAAGCAACTCAATGAACCTGTCTCTAAATAAAATACAAAATAGGGCTGGGATGTGACTCAGTGTTAAGTGCCTATGAGTTCAATGCCCATGAGTTCAATCCCCAGTACCCAAAATAGAGAGAGAGAGAGAGGGAGGGACCAACATACTATGAGCAGCTTGGCCTCTACAAGGACCTGAGGGAGCCAGGCAAGAGGATACTGTAGATCACAGACAGTGGGCATCTCAGCTGGGGGATTTTCAGACTGGAGGAAGCCTTCATCCACATTCCTAGATGAAGGGCTAAGAGGTAGAAGTAATCTCAGATGTGATCAGAAAGGCTCCAGGTAGCAGAACTGGACCCAGAAATGTGAGTTTCAGGTTGCCTGAGCACCTTGGAGAAGATGAGATGACTCTCCCTGTAGGTGTCCAGGCAGGGGAAGAAGAACTACCAGGTAGGAGTATTGAATAAGGAGAATCAACAGAGGAAGCTGAATTAAATTTTAGTTCTCAGTTCTTCATTATCTGCCTTTAAGGAGTCTGGGTAGAGGAGACCTGGGCCCTGCTTGCAGGCTCTACCCCTACAAGAACCATCTTCATCAGAGTTGAGCACCTGCTCTCCCGTTTGGGTGCCATTCCCATCCCAATTTAGATTCATAATCATGACCTCTGGACTGCATAACCCTAAGGTCTGTGAGACAGGAAAGGTGAGATGGGGAGGTTATGGCATAATGTTTTAAGCACACCTGGAGTGGAGGTAAGGGCAGGGATGAGGAGGTGGGCTGCCCGAAGAACACAAGAAGAGCTTGAAGAGGCAAGTTTGGTCATGTTCTGAGACCAGGGTACCCTGGGGTAGTTGACCTCCCAAGGTGATTTTTTTGGTTGTTGTTGTTGTTTGGTATTGGGGATTAAACCCAGGGTCTCCTGCATGCTAATCACGTGCTCTACCATTTAACTACATACCCAGTTTCCCAAGGTGATTTTCTAACACCCAAACGGGCTTCCTCCCTCATCCTGGAAGCACTTATTTGTCTACCTTATCTTGAGTTAACATCTTAATGCCAAGAAGAAATCCTTTATGATGAAAAATGTGTATCTTTAACTATTCTCCAGTCACTACCTTATCGCCAGCTTCAGGAGGGGGATCCATGCATGGGTTAAGCTGAATCAATAAGGGATTGTAAAAGGGTTCTTTAAAACCATGTTAGCTGGGCCCCATGCATGTCTTGAGACTGCAGAGAAGGGCTGGACCAGTTCTTCAGAATTATATAACCTTATAAAGAAGAGACCCCTGTGTTATCCATCTGAAGAGGTGGTTCCCATTCACCATTTATAATCCCAAATGGTGGCATGAATTCCTTTGTGGTAATTTTGGAGCTCCGTGCTTGTAAATTGTCTCCAGGTAACTAAGCCTCAGGCCCTCAGAGCCTGTCAGAAGAGGAAATTGGGGAGAAAGCTCCAGCATTTCCTGCTCTGGCCTATGGCACCTTCTGTCTCTGAATCTGGCAACAGATGTGGAAGGAGCATAATGAGGCCCATGTATCCAGTCCCCTCATGGAGCCTCCAGTACCTCCCTCTCTTCACTTAGAAAGTAGGATGTCAGTGATCAGATGTCAGGGGCCCTTATGCCTATTTCTTCTCATGGGCCTGAACACTCTGATCTGATGACTCACATCATTGACTTGGGTCCTTCCAGAATCGACTGTCAGCTTCACCGTGCCTCCTGTTGTGAAACTGGAAAATGGCAGTTCAACCAACGTCAGCATCACCCTGGGGTAAGTTGTCAGGCCCATTTTTGTCCTCAGCCCCACTTGTATGGGCCCTACAGTTAGGTCAGGGCTGACTGGTGGTTCAGTCTATTCATATTTCAGAGGTGACGCTTTTGCCTCTTAGTTGGAGGACAAGCCATAGAAACAACAGTGATACTAACCCTGGGCTACAGAGTAGGATCTCATTTGAACCCCCAAACTGAATCCTTCCACTAGGAGGAAGAAGAAGGGGTGCTTCTTACCAGAGACACAAGCTTTTTCTCCCCATGTGGAGAGTTCTAGAGTAATGAACAATCGATGCCATACTTCAAGACCCTTTCCAAGACTAAATACTTGAAGAGATCCCTGAAGGTCAAGGGGCAAGAAGCTGAACTACTGATTAGTCCTGCTGAGGTTACTTCCAAAAGCAGAAGTGACCATATGGCATAATCCCACTCCTGCAATGCTCATGCTTGGCCTTTGTCGGAGACTCTTACTTGATGACCCCTTCAAATTTAGGCACAGGGGTCTTGACCTAGTCTAGACTGTGCCAGAAAGCCCACCTCTCCCTTTGTGCCCTTAGCTACTTCACCCTGTTCATGCACCCCAGTTGTGAGGATGCCCTGAGTTGAAGATCTGGAACCCTGTCCTTTTTTCTTTACCTTTCCTGGGAGGTATGGCTCCCAGTTTCCCTTACAGCCCTGCCATTTCATTTCCAATTCCTATCATTCCTGCACGTCCATACCTTGTAAATGTCCCAAGTCATCCTTTAACCCCAACTCACCCCCTCTAGAGTCCCTGAGTGGCTTATGGCTGGCCTCTCAATTAACTCCAAGCCTCTATACCCAGATTTGAGGTCCCTATGGGCTGTTCCCCAAGGGCCCTCATTTCCTTCAGTCAGATTCTGACTTTGTAACCAAATCCTGCTCAGATCTGACCCTTTCTGGGAAGCCTTTCCCACTGCCACAGGGAGCCTCTATCTTATCCATCTCTGGATGCCTCCCAAATCATTCACAGTCAGTTTGCTACCTTCTCACATTCTCATCCTACCCTGAAGGGACATCTAATTTTCTGGTAAAGATAGAAGACACCTAAGGAGCAGGGATTCCACCTCTCTACCCCTCAGGGTTGAGCACGTAGCATTTCTTATTCCTGATTACTTGAGAAATTAAGACCTGGTGCAAAATCCAGAGGGTTGGTTGAGATTTCACAGTGTCCAATTTCTCAGCAATAATCAGACTCTTGTCCTCCACAGGCAGCCATTAAATGCAACCTTGGTGATCACTTTTGAAATCACATTTCATTCAAAAAATATTACTATCCTTGAACTCCCTGATGAAGTAAGTAACAAATCTAACTAATGGGAAATGCTAAATAACAAAACATGTTGTAATTAAGAGTTTGTGGCTATGGGTCACCTAGATTGTCCCTGTTTCATCATTCCAAAAATCTGTGACTTTTGTTTTCATCAGTCTCTTTGGGGATGAGCATTTTATGCTATATAACTTTGATTAAGAAGGAGATAGGAAGAAGCCAGAGGCAAAAGTGGTTCTGAGAATTAGAAGTTCTTAAGATAGTTTTCTAAGGCCTTACTACTCAAGAATATTCATGAACCAGCAGCATTAGTCTTGTTTAAAAATCTTTCAGTTGTTCCAGGCATGGTGGCACCCACCTGTAATCCCAGCTACTCAAGAGATAGGAGGCCAGCCTCCACAATTTAGCAGAGCCCTAAGCAACTTAGTGAGACCCTGTCTCAAAAGTAAAAAAATAAAAAGGCTGGGGATGTGGCTCAGGAAGGAAGGAAGGAAAAAATCTTTCAGTTGCTGGGGCTATACTCAGTGTTAGAGTATGTGTCTAGCATGCTGGGGCCCTGGGTTCAATGCCCAACACCACAAAAATAATAATAACTTTTTAGAAACATAAACTCTTAGGCCCTATCCCAGATTCAAAGTGTATATGTTAGCAAGGTCCCCAGATGATTGGGGTCCACATTAAAGTTTATGAAACTTTTTAAAAAAAACATTAATTTTTTTAGTTGTAAGTGGACACAGTATCTTTATTTTATTTTTATGTGGTGCTGAGGATCGAACCCAGTGCCTCACGCATGCTAGACCAGCACTCTTCCTCTGAGCCACAACCCCAGCCAAGTTGTTCATAACATGAGGCACTATGTTCAATTCTCAGCGCTGCATATAAATAAATAAAGTCTGTTGACAACTTTTTTAAAAAGTACATTTACTCTTAAAAAAAAATGTTTATGAAACTCTCTTCTGAGACACTATTGAGTGGATATCATTTGTAAAACCCAGTTCCAGAGGCTGCCTGGGATAATAGTAACAATTATTCAGAGCTTTATGTATTTATCTATTTGTATGTACCTTGTTTCCTCCTTACCAGGGATGTAAGCCAGTTGCCACTCAACTAGATAAGAATAGGGAGGCAGCAAGCCAGGCGTCTTAGCTCACGCCTGTAATCCCAGCAGCTAGGGAGGCTGAGGCAGGAAGATAGGGAATCCAAAGCCAGCCTCAACAACTTGGTGAAGCCCCTACCAACTTGGTGAGAACCTGTCTCAAAAAATAAAAAGGGCTGGGAGGTGGCTTAGGGGTTAGACCCCTGGTACCAAAAAAAAAAAAAAAGAAGAAGAAGAATAGGGAGATAGTAACTCAGGAGAAATAAGGGTTTAAAAATAAATTAATTTTTAAAAAAACAAGATGAATACAAATCAGTTAGGATGAATAACTTCTGGAGATCTATCATGACTATAGTTAATAATAAGGTATTATGTATAGTCGTGCACCAAATAACCTGTTGGTCAACAGAGGACCACGTAAAGGACAGTGGTCCCATAAGATTATCCTGTATAGTGTGACAAGTTAGCCATCTCAACTCGTATTTATCCATTCTATAATGTTCATATAATTATAAAATTGCCTAATATGTTAAATCAGAGCATACCCCATTATTAAGGAAGTCATGACTGTGATGGAAGACTGTTAAGAGATTTTAAATGTTTCCACCTTAAAAAAAACAAAACAGATTTACACCATAAAAAAAGGATAAGTGCCGGGTATGGTGGCACATACCTATAATCCAAGCTACTTGGGAGGCTGAAGCAAAAGGATAGCAAGTTCAAGGCCAGCCTGGGAAACTTAGTGAGACCCTGCCCCAAAATAAATAATAAAAGGGCTGGGGATATGGCTCAGTGGTAGAGCACCCCTAGATAAATCCCTAGTATCACAACAAGAACAAAAAAAAAGGAGGCTGGATATGTTAATTAGCTAACATTGTACATATGTTCCATTTTTATTTGTCAGTCATACCTTCACAATGCCAGGGAGGGATGCAGGGCTGAGCTGGAAGGCCCTGAGGCCATGGCGGGGAGGTGTGGAGGTGGACAGCAAAATCAGTGGTGAGGTCCAGCATGCAAACAGTAGTGAAACATGATCAATCTCAAGAGTTGGAGAATCTGGCAAATGCAGCACTGCTGAGAGAGGGGCTTCAGAGTGTCCCTTTAAAGGGATCCTATGTGAGAGGAGACCTTGATCCCTTGATAAGGCATTAGCCTGTGCCATTTCTCACAGCTTCCTGCCACCAAGGGTCCAGGGGCAGCAAGCAGTACAAGAAGAGCAGCTGGTTCCAATAGCAGGTCTGAGCAGCCCTCTTCATCCACAGATCACGTTTAGACTCTGGGAGGAACACACTACTTAGTTTAGGGCAAACATCTACATAAGAGTAATCCTCTTTTAAAAGTAAATGGAAGCCACACAGTATCAAGCTAAAAAGGCTGACACAAAAATCATGGGCTGTCAGATTCATTGCATATAAAGTACTAACAAAGTGACCATATGGTGTCAGCGGTTACCCTTGGGGTCAGGAGACCAAAGAAGCGGGTGGTACAGGGCTTCTGGGGTGTTGTTTCATTTCTTGATCTGGGAGCTGGGTACATTCTGTCTGTAGACATTTCATCCAGCTGTGATGTGTGTACTTTTCAGTATGCGTGTTACAGTTCAGTTTATTAGGAAAAAATTCACAGTAGGAGTCAAACAAGCCATTTGTATCAAATGACCTTCATGGACACTTTTCAGACTCTTGCTTCACTGGCCCCTCCTCATCCAGCTCTTACCACTCCTGTCCATTAGAAGTGACATTAGAAGTCATTGATTAGAACCTGGGAGTTGGGTTATCTAGAAACCTGTTCTGTGAGCCTTGGATAAGGTCATTCATCAGGACACAGCACAAGATCGTTTATAATGTCTGACTTGACCACACTGTGAGGATTAAAAGCAATACCAGCAAGTATAAAATATCGGGCCTAATCATTTCAGTCTGCCTTATTTTGGTTGATTTCTGATTCACCAATTTCTCCCTGCCTAGTTCCAAAGGGATTTAATGACCACTTACAAATATACAAACAGCACTGCAAATGAAGTGACAGGAAAATAAAAGAGCTAAGAGCGGTGCATGTCATCAAATTTCCATTTCAAAGTCAAACTCAGAGATGTAGGGGGTTTGAAATGGTTGTCCTGCTAAAGTCCCCTGATTTCTGGTGCGAAAACCAAAAAGCCAGTGCCTCAAGGGTCCTTATTAAGGAGCCATTATCAGCTAACATTCATGGAGCTGTATCTCCATGGAACCAACTATATGGGTTGAGGGTAGACCATAGGTCTCACCCAGGGAACAAACAGATTGAGGACACAGGAGACAGTTTGGTTCACTAAAGATATATCACCCTGTTCCCTGCTACCCTGGGATGGGGGGATTGAGAGCAGATGTTGCAGGCAGGCCTCCAAGTCCATTTTCCTGGAGCAGCACATTAGGCAGAAATGTGGTTAAGAACCTTCATGTTTGTCAAGCATTTGATTTGTTCACTTGGCAACCAGGCAAGGGGTAGGACAGACATCCTCTTGTGGATCTTGAGGAGTCTAATGATGATGGAAATACATGTAACACAACTGTCAGAGTACAGCATGAAAGGAAGCACTCACTGTTTGCCGTGTGTCAAACTTTGTACTGGAAGCTTTGTGGACATCATGTCATTCACAGAAACCCTGTGAGATAGTCACTTATGTTATTCCAATTTATAGATAATCAGACTGAAATCAGAGCATAAATAACATGAGTAGTGAGAGAAAGAAAGTCATCCCACCCTCAGAATTGAGCCCTGGAAGGCCCTGAGGACCAGTCCATAGTTCTGCTCAAAGTCAAACACAGAGATGTAGGGGATTTGAAGTGGTTGTCTATCTCAACATTTCTGCCTTTTTTTTTTTTCAGCAAGCTCTTTGAAGATAGGGACCATCTATGATGGACCTTCTCCTCATTCCCTCATTTGTAGGCTGGTGTAAGACACTTGGTGAGACCCTAAATAATTATATGTGGCCTCAGATCAAATTAAGTCTTTCTAACAGGTTGAAGTGCCTCCCGGAGTGACAAATTCCTCTTTTCAAGTGACTTCTCAAAATGTTGGACAAGTGACTGTTTATCTGCATGGAAATTATTCCAATGCAACCAGGTAGGCTGGCCTCCTCCCTGGCCACATGGGCCTTGAGGAAAGGGAGGCCATGCTGGGCAGAGGGCAGAAGGGCTTTCTTCAGAAGCCCAGCCTTAGCTCATCACATCCCAAATCCCTTTCTAGCCCAAGGATACGCTTCTTGGTGATCCGCAGCAACACCATTAGCATCATAAACCAGGTGATTGGGTGGATCTACTTTGTGGCCTGGTCCATCTCCTTCTACCCTCAGGTGATCAAGAACTGGAGGCGGAAGAGGTAACCTTCTAAGCTTTGCCTGAGGCCTGTGGGGCAGTGAGAAGGGGCATTCCAGTGAGGCTGCAGTTGGTGCTGCTTCCCACTCTTCCCTCTGCTCTTCTCTGTCTGCCTTCTCAAGAAGGTTGTCGTGATGGGAAAGTCCTCTCTAAGAGCCTAGGTAGGAGTCCAGTGCTGAGCATTGGTCCCTTAGCCAGTTCAGTCCCTCCCTGTGGAAGCAACAAGATGGGCTTCTCAGCTAAGAATGGACCGGGTAGGGGAAAAGCCCACCCAAACCTCCAGAGCCCTGGAAGACTGAGGTGTCAAGTCACTCATCCTTCAGTCCTGGGGACGAAGCACTCCCACCTGATTTTAAAGACAAAAGTGAAAGTGGGCTTGGGGGGTGCATCTTCATGCAGCAAGAACACAAGCTCTGCTGCAGTCACCCTAGCCATGGGAGCCTCATAGCAGAGAGTCAGCAAGGGCAGAGGTACTTCTGCAGGAGGCCTCCAGGATCCCCTGTGGGAGCCAGGACTGGAGGAGCAAGTGAGGGAGGAAGGGAATCGGCACCCAAGAGGACAGGGGTTGGGTGGCATTGACTGTGGAATATTAAAGAACCAAAGAACAGTGCTCTCCTCACACTTCACCGCTAGGAGCTCCGTCCCCTCCCAGGTCTCACCCTTCCCTTCTGCATCCCTTTGCCCTTGGCAGTGTCATTGGTCTGAGCTTCGATTTTGTGGCCCTGAACCTGATGGGCTTTGTGGCCTACAGCGTGTTCAACATCGGCCTCCTGTGGATACCCTACATCAAGGTATGACACTGCCTGTCCCCCACGGCTTGTCCAAGCTTCTTGCTGACTACCTGCGTCTCACCTCCCAGCTTCTCCCCACCCTCAACAGGAACAGTTTTTCATCAAATATCCCAATGGCGTGAACCCTGTGGACAGTAATGACGTCTTCTTCAGCCTGCACGCAGTTGCCCTCACCCTGATTGTCATCGTGCAGTGCTGCCTATATGAGGTGAGAGATAGGGCCTGGCAGCCAGGCCCACCAGGAGCTATCCCAGCCAACACCTGTCCCAACCCACCCACATGCCACCTGCCATTCCTACCTGCCACTGGATAGAGATGCAGAATCCTCAGAAAGGAAACATAGTCATTCAGCATCTACTTCCCAGGCCTGGATAATGGATCAGGCCCTGTGCCAGGCACAGAGAACACCTAGTGAGTTCAAGGCCACAGGGCTCCAAAATCTTTTATGAGGGACACAGAGAAAAGCAGTGACAAAACATCAGGCTGAGAGCTGTGTGGATCAGGGAGCACAGGAGGCAGAGTAGAGGCCCAAAGCCAGCCAGGGAGGAAAGGGAAGGAGGGTGATGAGGAAATGATTCTTATTGTGGTTCCAGGGTGAATGACGTTCTGTGTTATTAAAGGGGAAGATGGGGTTGTCATTCCCCATGAAGGGACAGAATTTTGGAGGCTGAGGAGCATTTGAGAGGAAGTATAAGCAGATGGGTGTGGCCAGGGCTTAGGGTGCCAGCTGGAGAGTTGGCTCCACAGAGGTTAGGAGGAGCCTAGGATCAGCCTTGTTGGAGGCCCATTGGAGTCTAAGAGTCTCAGCAGGGAAGGGCACAAAAACCCCTGAAGTGACAGCTTTGTTTTCATTTCCCTGTGGTGTGTCACCTCCTTTGGTGAGTTCTCTTTACACACTGTTCAGGGCCCACAGAGGGGCTGTGTGGCCCCCGTCTTCACGAACCTTCTCAGTTTTCTTATCCTTGGCTGTAAAACTTTGGTGAAGAAGGCCCACTTGGCACCATGTCTGGAGAAAGGCTGGGGTCAAGGCAGATTCCGGGAAGAAGGGAATGTCCAAGCAAACCCCACTAGACCTAGGATATTAAAGAGGTTCCATCTGGTCATAGAACAGGTCGAAACCTGGGCTAGGATGAGTTGCTGGGCTTCCGGTGTTGGAATTTACATCTTTAACACCCTTCACTCCTTTTGGAATGAGCTTAGAGGCCACCCAGCTTTGCAAAGCAGAAACAAAAAGTAGATAGAAACTGGAGACTGCAAGGTAAAGTTGGTGCTGGGGATGGGATCTCACAGCCTGGCAGCTTGGGACCTCATCCCAGCCCAAGTGTCAACTTGTTCCATGTCCCAGATGGAGCCTGAGGATCCCTGGTATCTTTCCTACATCTCACCTTTCACTGAACATAGCCTCAGTGTAGGCCTCCCTCACATGGGCTATGTCAATGCCAGGCTTCCATCTCCAGCTCTCCCCTTCAGCCCACTCTGCACCCCTCCTTCATGGTCATCCCCTCCTGAGATCCTGCAGCAGCCCCTTGTGCCCCTATCTACAGCCCCATCCTCTTTGTCTCATCCTCAGCGAGGCAGCCAGCGTGTGTCACGGCCCGCCATCGGCTTCCTGGTACTCTTGTGGCTCTTCGCCTTCATCACCATGATTGTGGCTGCAGCTGGGGCAACCACATGGCTGCAATTTCTCTTCTGTTTCTCCTACATCAAGCTTGCTGTCACACTGGTCAAGTATTTTCCACAGGTACTCCAGGACCTTGCTGCATTATCATAAGGCCGATAGTGTGAGAGGTGAGAGGTCCTAAGCTCAGGCCCTGCTCCCAAGGCAGCTTTTGCCAGGGCATGGAAACTAGGGTGGAAAACCTCAGTGGAAACTAGTGAACCCTGGGAGGTAGGGAGCCCCAGTGGAAGACATTTAGGAGCATCTGGGACTGCAGAGGTAACAGCAAATATGGACCCTGACTGGGAGAGGACCACCAAAGAGGCCAAGACCTCCCTCCCATGTGGTACCAGTCAAGGAAGCCCAAAGAGCACCACGGGTTTGGAGGAGGGCTATGGAGCCTAGGCAGGAGGAAGAAGGGAATGTCCAAGCAAAACCCACTAGACCTAGGATACTAAAGAGGAGTCCCGGAAGCCCAGCATGGCTCAGATGGGAGTTATTTTCACTCTATAGATGGGGAAACTAAGGCAAGGAGAACTCGGTGATTTGCCCAATGTAACAGCTCTGATGATGGAGCATGTATTCCATACCAGGAAGCCAGGCTCCCAGCCTGTGTTGTTAAGGCACAGCACAAGTCCATGCTGAATACAGGGACAGCTTCATTAGAGATGGGAAGAAGAATCAGAGTTGCTGGAAAACCAGGATAGGGCTTCATCCATGGGTAGGAGTAGAGAAGGCAGTGGCTGTTCTCCCTCCCTCCCTCTGATGAGTTGGGAGGTGCTGGAGTGAAAGGAAGGACTTCAATTGCCCTGCCTGCAGATGAAACCCCAGGACCACCCAGACTGTTCTTTTGGCTGAGGCTTGTCAGAGCCTAAAGGTCACCATGTTCCTTGGAGCCAAGGCTTAGGCACAAAAGTGGGATGAATCAGAGCCACCCTTGTTTAGAGTGGCAGACATAAGGCATAGCCATCCAGCCCCCTCACAGCCCTCCATCTGTCTGTGTGACCCAGGCCTACATGAACTTTTACTACAAAAGCACTGCGGGCTGGAGCATTGGCAATGTGCTCCTGGACTTCATAGGGGGCAGCTTCAGCCTCCTCCAGATGTTCCTCCAGTCCTACAATAATGGTGAGTCAGCCAACAGGCTGCCCCCACCCAGTGGGTGTAGACACAGGGTAGGGTCAGGCTTTGGGACCCACTGCCCCCATCCCCAAGCCATAGCTACTCCCAGCAGCCTGGGGATTCCAAGCTCATCCCAGCCTACAAGGACAAACTCACCCAGGGGCTTTGCAGCTAAAGAATTTGCAGTCCTGGGCAAATGGGGACCCCCAAACCCCACATGTGCCAACTGCCACAGGAACTGCCAACCTAAAACCAGATTCTGTCCCCTTGACTATTAACAGACCAATGGACATTGATCTTCGGAGACCCAACCAAGTTTGGACTTGGCGTCTTCTCCATCTTCTTTGATGTTGTCTTCTTCATTCAGCACTTCTGTTTGTACAGAAAGAGACCAGGGTACGAGCAGCTGACCTAGCACCCAGAGACCTAGTGTAAATGGCCAAGACCCTGGGCCCTGGTGGGTAAGGCTGCACCCAGCAAACACCAGAGAAGAGGTTGGTGTGCAGGGCTGGCTCGGATGTGCTGACAGAGGAGAAGTGCTCTCTTCCTCAGGGCCAGTGCCTTAAACTCAACCAGCCTGCCTTCATCCAGTTCTCTCTGGGACAGACACCAGACTCTGCTCCAAGACTGAAAGCTAGACCTCAGGCTGTCCCTCCCAGCCTCCCCAGAAGTCTCAGCCCCTCCCAGGCCTCAAGGGCCAGGCATCTGGCCTTCCTGCATCTTGATGCTCCATCTTTTTTCTTTAAGGCTTCAGGCAGCACACACAGGTCCTGACAGCCATCTCAGGTGGAACTGGGTGCAGAACTTGCAGCTGAAGGCCTTTCCCCAAACAACCAATGTTTCTGGGAGCACCTTGAAGGGCTGACCTTGCAGCCAGGAGAGCCAAGGGCACTTTGCTGCCACTGCTGTGTTCCCAGAGACCAAGTAGCCAGGTGCTGTGGCCAGTGGACTCAAAGGTGCTGGTGCTGGTGGCGGAGGGGCGAGGATTTGGGGGTTAGGCCTTGGGGTCCTTTGTCTGAAGGTCCCCAAGACTCTCATTCTACATAACTCAGATTCTACAACAGCAGTACAGATGGCCCCAGCCAGGGCCTGGTGAAGAGGATTTCTGAACCTTGAGATGCCTGCCAGATCGATTCTGAAGTGAACTGATGCCCAATGCCCTCTGGAACTTTATCATACAAAGTCAGATACCACACTAACTCCATTCAGGTTTTTTGAAGGGATGTTATGGAAGTGGCATACTTTCTTTTGTCCTCTCTCCTACCTCCACTTTTTGAGTCAGATGGGGCTCCATCTGAACCCACAGTGCTCCTAACCCAGCACCTGTACAACAGGACACACTCTACCGGCCTGTGCCTTAGAGGCCTGTCAGACCTACCAAGTGGTAAGCATATTTCCCCCAAGGGGAGGGCAGGCCCCCTTCCCTTTTCCCAGGCCCCTGAGATGCTCTAATTTGGGGGCTTCAAAGTAATTGATACTATCTCACACAATGCTTGTGGGCATAATCTTAATCTCAAACCTCCTTCCCTCCCACCCCAACCTATTGTCCTTCCTAGGGCAGGAAGGGAGGGTCCCAGGATGTGCCTTGAGTTTGCTGGCCCACACATTTTTTACTACAAGGCCAATGTAAGCGGCCTATATCCTTTTTGTTTTCATGGTGCTTGTATCCTTAATTAAAACCTGGCTTGTTTCTTTCTGCACACTCAAAGCATTTGCTAGATGCAGAAGGCTGCTCTGTTGGCCTTTAGAGCTAAGCCCTGGGGGCTTAGGGAGTTGGCCTTACTGACCTCCTGTAAAGAAATGTGTAGGGCCTAGGAGATCACTGATCTGAGGTAGTTGTGTACTGACCCTGCGCTTCATTGGGTATGCCCTCTTGGGGATATGCCCACTCAGGGCCAGGTAGGTATGTCTCGTGGGTCTCATATGCCAGTACTAAGGTACACCAGCATGTGCAAGCTGCAGATGTGGGCAAGGGTTTGTTAGAGGTTTTTAAGGGCATGACTTCACTGGAATCAGGGAAGTAAAGGTCTTATTTTCCAGATTATTCTATCCAACTGTAAGGAATTTAAGGTCTTGTTTCCCTAGAGCAGAAAATGTAGCCCAACCAAACCTATAGACCGGTTTTATTTAGGCCACCCAGAGATTTTTATAAAATATGTCCTTGGGTATTGCACTTTAAAAATAGGAGATTTCAAATTCTGGACTTTTCTTCACAAATCTGATTTGGCAATATAAGGTGGATCCAGAAGTGGCAGCACCTTCTCAGAGCTAGTAGGCAGAGGACTAGACACTGCTTACTACCTAGCTAGCTCTTGACTTGCGGGAACATCCAGGGTTATGTCCCTGGCTGTGGATCAATACTGTCTAGAGTCTCAGGGGCAGATTCTTTTCCCATGAATCCTAGAGTGCCCATGAGGCCCCTCTCAGGTGGGAACTGAAGATAGGTTACACTGAAGTACCCCCAACTTCCTTTATGTAACCTAGCTTCACAGTGACACCCCAGGTTCCCCACCTTAATTGCAGTGAAGATATACCCAGACACAGATGTGGCCTTTGCCACATACAGGGTGTTTCCACTGAGGCTCCACCACCCATCATGGTATTAGAGCTGGGACCAGGGCTTCCCCTATGCCAGGAAGCACTTTACCACTATACCTTCAGCCCTCACTAAAGCTTCTAAGGCAACACCAGCCACACACTTTCCCGGGCAGGTGGGCCTAAAAAGAGTTGGGCTTTGTCCCAGAACAGTGGGAGACATGTTAGCCATCCTTAAAACCAAAGCACTTGTCCCATTCCACTCCATGTCTCAGCAAGGATCCCTCATGAATTCCAGCGTTCTTTATTGGACATGAGATGTTGGGTGTGGGGCAGCATCATACTGCCCCATTTCCATGGTAACCAAAGTAAGGCTGTTCACGTGCTAAGAGTAGTTGCTCCCACATGTGAATTAGTAAGCTAGACTCAAAACTACAACTGGCATCTCCAAATAGTAAGATAAAAACGCTGTGTATCAAAGTTGTGATTAAAAAAATACAAAAGTTAAAACCACGGGCATAGAGAAAAATGGCAATCCTGAGAGCTGCCCTGAAATGTCAGCTTGAACCTCAGCTAAATCCTGTAAGTAGGCAAACCCTGGGGAGGCCAGCACCCTTCAGGGAAGTGAGGGTGCATGGGAGGCTACCAGCTGCCATCCAGATGAACCTTCATAGTGCCTCCAGGAGTGTGGGGGTCTAGCCCCCCACTGGGCAATGTCGGGGTGGACAGCATGTGGCTTGGGCACTGTGGAAGTGACATAGGAAGGCAGGGCCAAGCCCTGCAGCCGGGGCAAATCAGGGAAAGCCAGCCCCGAGTGGCATTTCCCAGCTTTGGCAGCTCTCAGAAAGTGGTGTTTTCTGCTCACCCAGGCACTGCTGAAACAGCAGTAGGCTGAGCTTTGGTCATTGCAGACTGGCTTCACTCAGCTCCAGGCCCTTGTTTCCAATCCTCAGTATCCCAGAGACAGACCTGGTCCCAGAGCCTCGGGCTAGACTGGGAGGGGAAGCAGGGCTGGCTCAGGCCTCTGGGATCAGCTGTCGCCCTTCTGAGCTGGAACCCAGCATGCAGCAGAAGCCAGGATGGAGGAGCAGAGAGAGCGTGGAAGTGGTGTCGCTGTACAAATAGGCAGGTAGGCACAAGGTAAGGATCACAGGAGGGCTGCTAGGACAGCATGGACTGCTGCACAGCCTTCTGCAGCGACTGCCGCGTCACCAGCAGGCGCACCACCTCCTCTGAGCGCTTAGTGAGCCGTTTCCGGGCCTGATCATGTGTGACCATGGTCATGTCCCAGCCATTCACCTGATCCAGGGAGAGAAAACGGCCCACCTCAGTTCCTTGCTTCCACGATCAGCAAGCAGAGAACTACGGTGTACCCAGGCCACCCAAGCAGGCCCCCAGACCAAAATCTCCAAACATGGAGATGTCAAGCACTAGAACTGAGTTCAAAGAAGAGCCTTTTGTCTGTGGGCCATACCAGCATGACTTCCAGTTGGCTTCGGTGAGTCCCTCTCTGCAGGAAGGCTGGGCCAATCTCTCCCAACCCCATGTGCTTCAGCCCCCTTGGTCCAAACCTTAATCTCTCCTCCTCTGGGTCACTTGTTACCTGCATGATCTTGTCTCCAATCTGCAGCCCAGCAATTTCAGCAGGACCTCCTTCAGATACACGTGTGACATAAATGCCCTGAAAGAGGGAGCCCAGGTCAAGACCTATGGTCACTGGACTTGCCCCTTATCCACAAGGCAGAGCCTAACATAACATACTCCCAGCCACTCCTCTCCCTGGTCCCAGCCTGCCCCCAGCACATTCCACCAGTGTAGACTGTGCCAGGACAGCCAGGGGGAAAGCATGGCTACCTAGGGATGTTCCAGCCCCTGCTGATGACCACCTCCTACTTTTCCTGGGCTGTCTAAGCAGGCCTTCCTAGGGCTGAGAGGCCCACTCCCCATCCCAACCCTTCCTTTTCCCACCATATTATATCTTGACCTCTATCAGGATTGTCTGAGAAAAAGATCTGCTCCTTCCATACAGGCCCAGGAAGCAGAGACCCACCATCTCAGGCCTGTATGCCCCATGGAAAGGTCACAGGACCTAGTTCCCTCTCACCTTGTCTGTCTTATCTTCTGAGAAGGGATTTTGAGAGGGATCCTGGTCAATTCCACCTCCAATGCTGAAGCCCAAGATTAAGTTCTCACCTTGACGCAGCTTGTGAATTTCAACTCTTTGCTGGCAAAGGTTAAAAAAAAAAAAAAAACATGATGGGGTGAGTGGAGAATGAATCTGAGTCGGAAGCAGCAGCCTCAGGCTGCTGGGTCACCTCAGAGCTATGCCAAGGGGTGGGGCCCAATAGGGCTGGGCTGCAGATTGGAGATAAGATCATGGGGCCATCAATAGGAATCTAGCTGGTCACCAGCCTGGGAGGCTGGAGAGTTGGGACTTAAAACTTGGCAACATGGACCCACCCACACAGCTCTCTGCCCTGTCTTCCCCCTACTTCCCCAGCTTTGGTCACCATGTGTTCTAAACCCATTCTGGCCCAAGAGTCAAGGGTGCTGTGGCTGCCATGGAAGAGAGGTCCAATTTCCCAGGGAGGGGACCCACAGGGCAGGAGAGTCAGGCACAATGCAGGTACAATAAGGCAGCTCAGATTGCTGAGCCAGCACTGTCAAAGGCAAGACATTTAGGTGCTCAGGAAAAGTAGAGAAGATCAAACTTGCACCGAAGGGAAAGGGCTTCCTTCCTAGCCAAGGGAAGCAGACCAAAGGCTTGAAGGTCTGTGAGACCAAAGAGTACAGGATGAAGATGTGGAACTGCGAGGTAAGAAGAGGCTACAGCCGGATCAGGACAGCTGTGGGATGCAGACCTCTAAGACTATTCCTAGATGGGAGAGGGGGGTCCCCCCGAAGCCCCAGATCTTGCTCTTGTGCAGGGTTAAGGATAGTATTCTAGCCCCCCCCCCACCATACTCAGCTCCCCACCTTTCAGAGCCCTATGCAGGTACCTTCCAGTCACTAGATCCTGGGGACAGAGATTAACCAAAAGTGGAAAGTTCTGGGGAATTTTTTGTTTGTTTGCTTTGGTACCCGGGAGTGAATTCAGGGGCACTTGAACACTGAGCCACATCCCCAGCCCTATTTTGTATTTTATTTAGAGACAAGGTCTTACTGAGTTGCTTAGCGCCTCACTTTTGCTGAGGCTGGTTTTGAACTCGTGATCCTCCTGTCTCAGCCTCCTAAGCCGCTGGGATTACAGGCGTGCACCACAGCGCCCAGCCCCAAGATGTAAAGTTTTAACAGGAAGAATGGAAAAAAAAGCAAATGGCAACTGGATCTGGACCTGGACCTGGAGAGGCTTCACAAAGAAGGGATCATTTGTACCAGGCCTTAAGGAGGTGATGAGCATTGTGGCCACCTGACTGTGAACCCACTGGAGCACAGAGAATTTAGGGAATAGGGCAAGGCATGATCACATTTGATGCTAAAATGGCCACTTAGGTCATAAGTAGGAGAATGAATGTGTTGTGTGAGGTGGGTGGGGTGAGCATAGAGGCCAGAGGACATGAGCTACTTGGAAACTGAAATCCATAGACTTGATGACTGTTCATCAGGGAGAGGAGTCGAGCATCTAGCCATCTAATCTGGCTGAACACAACTATCATTTCAGATGGGGATCTAGGAGGAGAAGATAAAGTTTGAGTGCCAGAAGCCACCCACACAGGTGTCCAGAAGACAGGGCTGTGAAGCCTTTGCTCCACATGGACAGAGGAGGGACCAAAATGGCTGTAATTCTCAAAACTATATGGGGGTGGGGGGGGGGGGCGGAGGGCAGGACTGGGAGAAAAGCTTCCAGAATCCTTTCCCAATCCAAGACATAGCCAGAGAGGTTAAACCCCACCCACCATGTTCAGGCATGCTCCTGGTGTTAGAAGAATTGGACAGTTGTGGTCCTACACTTTGAGGAAGAACCTAGAACCAGGCATGACATGAGGGAAAAGGAGCAGGAAACACTATCCCTCAGGCACATTCACCTGGATCCTCAAGTCTAAAAGTGTGAGCTCCTCCAACCCACCTCCAAGGTCAGAAAAGAAACAGAAACCTGTCACTTGCTGGGAGAAGTCAAGCAGTTAAGGTGGCTCTCTGGCTCCTCACTTGTATTCCCTGTTTTCCA